CTATACATTAAATATTTACTTAACTTACACAGCTGTTGGAGGAACTCAATACATTATTATCTATCTAAGTGGCTCCCAATTGTTAAAATTTTGTCTTTAGGCACCCATATCCTCCATCTTTTTATGTCAGTGAATGGGCCACAGCCCCTCAAGAAAGAATAGCCCCTGTGAGTGTCTGTGTCACTACAATCCAATGTCCCAGGGGTGAAATAACATGTTCATAGAACATTTTTAATTATGCAACATAGTCTGCAGAGGAAATGTGTGTACATACCTGGACCACACATTTTGCAGCACTGGTTACCCTGCTCATATTGAGTTTGTGGGTCACAACGGGACTGAGCAGCTGTCATTGCCTGAAAAACAACAAGAGTGAGACATAAATAAGAGGTAGTTGTAACCTCTCTAAATATGGTGGGGTTTGTCACGACTGTTTGGTTCACTTCCTCACACAAGAAAGAGGCTGTGCTGGAAAGTCCCAAACATCCAACAAGCTGGTAACTCTGAAACTCAATAACAGCCAGGTGCATTTCTTTCTTTGTTTTACATTTTTGTAATTACTATCATTATTTTGCGTATCAGGATTCAGACAAAGCCATTTGCGAGGAAAACGAAAGTGAAAGTAAGTTTTTACTGCCGTCACAGGGTGTAACCTTGCAATAATATGCACACATTCGACCAGAATATCTGATTAAAGTAGACTTCTGGGTAAAAGATGGATGGAATAAAACTAAAACATAGCCTACATAGCTTACATTAACACAACCATAAGAAAAGTGGCATTGCAGCGATCTAACCTGAGACACTTTTAGTTATCCTTAGTCGAAATGTATAATTTTAACAACGAAATACATCAACCAGCTTACTCACCATAAAACCCCACATCACCATCAGCAGTAGATACATCTTAGTTGATTGTGTTGTCAGCATGTCAGATCTCTCTCCGCTGCACAGCTTGTTGTCACTGCTCTGGTCTGTGCGTGTTAACTACTAACGTTTCAAAAAGGGAGGAGCTGCAGCATGAAGGGTATTTCCCGTGTGATTTTTTTTCTTGACCATTTCCTGTAAATCCGGTATCTGAGCCTTGTATTCAGTTTGGTCTCTAAATGTCCAGAAGTAGGCTAATATTATTGTTCACGTTTATCAATACCCCAGCCGCATTTAGACTGGAATAATATTTAATTTTAGTGGACAGATGTGAAATGAAGTTAACTAAATAGTCATTCAGTGGTAGAAGAAGTAAAAATACGTACAAATACTCCATTTAAATTAAAAGTCCTGTATATAAAACGCATAGCCTATAAGAAGCAATTATCAGCAAAGTACAAACGTAATAGTAGAGGAATGGCCCCTGTCAGTGTTATTCTATGTATATTATAGGATTACAACTGATACATTAACGTGTAAGCAGCTAGTGTTGCAGTTGGTTGATGTGGAGCTAATTATATAGCCTACATTATTTGGTGATAGTTTAATGTATTGCACAGCACTGTATTTCAGTCACTGCATATTTTGTGTGAAAAAAGAAACCAGTCGCTGTAGCTGCAAAAAACGGTAATGCAGTAAAATGCACAATATTTCCTCTAAAATGTTGCGGAGTCCTACAAAGTCCTACAAAATGGAGAAAAACAAATAAAGTACATAAAAAAAGAGCAGTTTTGCGTTATGTACAGTGATAACCACGCTGCATTTTAAAAGGATCCTAAGAATTAGGATCTATTAGGGTACTATCACAGCAATTTAACTTCAACATTGAATTAAACATGTGGATTTCATGTTTTATTCACAGGGAATGCAAAAGTCAATAGCCAACATGTACATAACCTACACAAACTGTACAAACTGTATCGCGCTTGGGAATTTTTTTGAACACAAACAGTTTCATTGTTTTCATTGTTTTTCGACCATACCTATTCTATGGTAGAGCAGGAATCCCCACCAAATTAAGGGATTCCCCAAGAAGTTTTCATGAGGAGGGGTTCCCCTCACGATCTGGGTGTCACTGATGGTAAAGACTTCACTGCGCATGTGTACTGACCAATTAACAAATCTAAAACGCGACCGAGTGTGAGTGAGCGAGTGAATTAATTTGTTTTGCGCGTGTATTCACGCAATTACGGCAGCGAGCCTTAAAGTTTCTCATAACCGTTTCGTTGCTGGAAATTCCAGTTGATTCCTAAGAAAAGTGTACTCTCATTTGCCTGCTTCAAAATTATGCCATTTTAGATTACATTTTCAGTTGAAAATTAACACAATGACACATCTGAATTGTGTGCCTTTTCCTCATATTAGAACTATTTGTCCTTAATAGATTAAACAAAATCCCTATTTACTCATACTAATTTCTAAAGCCATAAAAAATATAATTTTATTACTGTACGAGTATACCTAATGGTACAATATTATACCCAACTGTGCTTCTGTGGAAATCTCTGACTTCATCTTGTTATTCCTGGTTATGTGATTTGTCATTCCTGAAACTTGAAAAAAAAAAAAAAAATAGGTTTTCTTTTCTTCTTCTTCTGTACTGACATTTGAGTGTGAGCCCTGCCCAGATTGTCTGGTATTCCTGAAATACTCTTAACACTGTGCATTGTTGATCAGTGTTGAGGAGGACATTACCACTTTTTAACTACTCATTTTCAATTTTCAATTTGCCTTGAACAGAAACTATAAAGTATAATGTATTCCCACTAATGTGCATGTGGGGAATGTGCTTCTCTGTTCCTGCATAAAATATTAACTTGTTTCACATCATTTGACTATCAGATCTTAGGTCCAAATCCAATTTCAGTCATTAACATCTCATAAAATGTTCTGAACAGTTTTACTGTTGCATTACTCTTCATTAATAAAAGGTGATAATCCACCTTTTATGGGTGAAGTCCCTCAGCATGTCTGTCTTAAACATGATTGTGATGATACTTTCACTTACCTAAAAATATGCACTGAAATAACTGTGGTGCACACCAAACCACAGCCGTCTGCTGTCACTGGTAACTAGCAGCTCTATTTCAACTGTCATGTAGTTTGTAGACAAGTAATTTAACACAAACTGGACACTAGAACAAATGGGAAAACTGTCAATTTAGTTATCTTAGTTTACTCTCCTCTTCTTCTTGTTTGTCTTATTTTCAGTGTCTTAGGTTACTAGAAAATCCTCATTTCTTGGTTCTTCTTGCTAGTTTTAAGTTTATATTGTTAGTTTATTTGACAACATTGATCAACAGGAAGAAAAAAAGGCACCCTAACATGTAGATCAACACAGCATATCTAATTAAATATGCACAAAATAGCAAAGTGCACCCACTTATAAATACTGATACAGTATAGTAGCCAGTTTTGGAAAGGATACTTTGGAAATGTTATAAGTTACCGACTAAAAGTTCCCCTATTTAAAATGTAATAGTAGTGTAACTATTTCAATTACTTTATCAAGGTAATGTAACTTATTACATTTAATTACTTACTTACTTTAATTTCTAAATGCCTAATGAATGTTTTCAACTGTTACCATTTTCAAAAGACAGCTTGAGAGGCAATTTAACTGGCAGACTGGTTGGTGGCACAGCAAATTAAAAAATGACAACCAATCAATAGCATAAGAATAGCATCAAACTGTACACAACTGTGGCTGGAAATGGCAAAGGAAGACATTGTGCACAAGAAAAACATGCAAAATGATTATTATTCGATATATAGCCTAACTCTTTACAGAAAATATAATTTAAGTAACTGTAATTTAATTACACATTTTTCCCAGTAACTGTAACAATTTACAGTTACAATTATTTTGTAATTAAATTACATAACTATATTACATGTAACTAGTTATACCCCAACACTGATAGTAGCATATAGAATATTTACAGCCTAGTATATGTTACTCGTCACATAATTCTGCTACATACTGAACAAGGGTACAAGTTCAGGAAAATAGTATACAGGTTAAGTCCCCTCACCTGTACAAAGACAAAAATCAAATACATCATATATCATTAGACATAAAGGTTTTAATTATCTACAAATTTGCTCTTTCTGCTGAGGTGATCCTTTGAGTTTTTGAGTGCTCTGTATTTTCTTTATCTGATTTGTAATTTTTGTCATTGTAGTGGTTATTGTAAAACTTATAAGTATAAATCCACCCCATAACATGAGCGTCTCAATAGCCAAAGAGCACATGAAATGGATAAAATATATCAATTTTATCCATGTATACTAATATACTCACACAAAAACATACAACATACCTAAAAATGTGTCAAAGACAACATTCAATTGTGATATAAATTGAAACATACAAAAGAATTCCATAAAAGATTAAGAACATTAACTGAAAGCAAAAATATTAAAAGTATGAAATGAAATTATTAAAAGAGAGCAGTGACAACTCCCATGCTCTGTAAAATGTTTACTTCAAATAATTTAAACTTTAATAGTAGACAGACAGACCTAGAAAAACAGACACATATGGACTGTAAATGATCAAAATAAAGTTTATAAATTTACTTAAAAAGGACAAGAAAGCTGAAAGAACACATTTTGTTTGTAGATTTCTTGAAACATTTCTTCGTGTAAATTGGATTTAGGTTAAGGCATTTTAACCTCTGGATCTGTCATGCAGTTTGCCGGGTAGCTTGAAAACTGCTCTCTGCCTCTGTAGGGCAGAATTGTGATTTTAATCAAATCTATCTCTATCAAGGGAAAGCCTTTTATAGCAATATGATGAAAAATTTAAATTCCTTGCTTTTTACGTTTGCAGGTGACTTTACCTGGATTTTGTTCAAAACCTCTAAAGTAAAATTATGTCATATTTTTCATGTTTGATACAGCTGATTTATGCTGTATTGTTATGGATTTGGGGAAAGAGCCACAGTTTCTTAGCGCTCTCTCCTGGACAAAACAGCAGATACGAAACATGCCCTCCAATGGGAGACATGTAAACTGACAGGAAATGCAGAGACAGCCTATGGGTGTGACTGAACAGCCACTGCCAGCCTTACCTGAAAGAAGCGTAACCTGAGCTGAAAGAGGGCGGTGGTAGACACATTTTCACACAGCAATTTTCTCTCCCGAGTCAGAGTAGCAGATATCTGCTTAGGTCTTGCATGGCAAAAAAACAACAACATTTTTTCATGACTTTGCTATAAAAGAGGACCAGTTTCAACTGAGCACTTGCATGGATTTGTGTGTAAAATCTAACAAGTTATGATGCCAAGTTTAAGATCAAAGAAGAAAGACAATCTATCCAGAATGGATACACCCACTGAAGACTTGCCACAGGTAAGATTTTAATTTATGTACTTAGACGAGAAAGCAAGCATCAAGCAGTACATTCTTTTAACAGCAAGTGTCAAGTTCTAATTTACCATGTCTATGAAAGTGTAAAATCAATGCTTCTGCAGTCAGATGTCAGATTTACTAAATTACAACAGCTTACTGTACTTGCCTCCAGAGAAAACAACCCTCTCGCTTTCATTGACGTGAGGCCTGCGCAGCAAGAGGAGGCAAAGTTTTGGTTCAGTTTTTTCAGAGTCTCTCAAGCATTGTCTAGTTCCTCAATTCAACCTGACTTCTCTACTGTTAGTAGTTTCCCACAAAGGAAGGTTTATTTACTAGAAATGTGACAACGTGATTCTGACTGATTTAAGGAAGACATTCGGTTCCTGTAATAGCATGACAGATGCAGAGGCTGATTGTACTTTGCAACACAGCGGTTCCTCTTTTCCAGCGAACCGAGACTAATTTTATCTTATCAACCATCATTCATCTCTGAAAGAACACCTTTACATACAATATTTGTACAGCTAAGTATTGCTAAAGCAAAATACTGCATGACAGCTAAATGGAAGAACATAAAGTAGTAAGTTATTTGTTAGTTTACCAAATGCAAGGATACTTTAAAGGGTTTTGTCACTATACTGTGCAGATTTTGTGATTTATGAGCCAAACCTGTTCCCGGACAGCGTGCTTGGTTCACATGGATTCCCACATGTTAATACAATTTATTGTTTTTGGGGTTTTTTTTGCTGTGTTGCTGTGCTTTCAGTTGAGCAATGAGATGCAGCTAAGCATCATGAACAAGGTGAAGAGTGGAGAGTTGTCCATTGAGGATGCTCTGAACCAGGCCAGGATGGACAGGAAGCAGCTGCTCAAACAGAAGAGTGTGGAAGAAAAGGTACCTGCATTTTAAACCAAGCTTCCTCAATATTTTACTGTAATCCCAAAATTCTCACTGAAAAAATTGTTTTGATAACACGCAAAATTACTTAAGACATTGTTCATCCGCCATGATAACAGGCTATGTAACTTAGGCATTTGTTTTAACTTTGAGAGGGGGGCTAGCCACACTTCTAGTCTTAATGCTAATCTGGCCAGACACAATATATAAACGTGATTATTGTCCAACTCTCTGCTACTTTGATATATAATCAGTTTAAAGATATAATTAGCATATTTTGCTTTGCGAATGACCTTACAGACTTGTCACACGCATTGCTCTGCAGTAAGCTGCTCAACCTGCTGGATAAGTTTTAAAAGAAATCTGTCTATTGCCAATTTGAGTCGAAGTATTTTCTTGAAAGAATGTGATTACATTGTTCTACCCCTTTGCAGGAAACAGTCAAAGGACAAAAGATTTTCTCATTAGGTGTTGATGTCTGAGAGTTTGTTTGTCTGTTGTTGCAGGAACAGCAGCCCTCTCAGTTCAACTTCAGTGTTCGCAAGCACAGCCATTACAGGTGGCAGAAGCGGGTTCTTCAGGTAAGTTAAAAAAAAACAAGACCAAGAGCCAACAGCCATGTGAGCAGATTCTGTACTTAGGCACAGCTGTGCATTGTATTGTTTACGATGTTCTCCATGTTAGTTTAGCAAATATTAGCATTCTAACATTTACTAATTACAACTAAACACACGTACATCTGAGGCTGATTGATGGAATTTCATTAGTTTTGCAGGTATTTTGTCAGAAACCAAAGAATATGATAAATACACAAAATTTGTACATGATATATGATACATTAATCCTCTGGGTAAAAATTTCATGGAAATCCATCCAGAAGATTTGGGATGTTTCATCCTAGACCAGCCTGCTAGCAAGGCAAAAAAACTGTATCAGAAAATGAAATATGGTCATTTTCACTGTGTTATACAGTAGACTGTTTTTATTTTAACCCTCTCATTGTGATCACCCAGATTGATTTCAAGACCAAAAAACTGTGCAGCATAGAAAAAGGCATCATCAAGCGACAACTTGCCTTTTCCAGTGTCAAGAGTTGTGATGATGGAGTGGGTTCCAGGTTCTCCATTTCCTTTTCAGGACATCATGTTTATGAATTGGAGGCCACTTCACTGGAAGACAAAAACAAGGTGAATGTATATGTAGCATGGGTACATTAAAAATATTAAAATAAACAAGTACACGAAAAAACAACTTTACTTATTTTTATACTATTTGTACAATTCTGTTGGGCCTTTCATTTATGTGAAAATAATATGTACTGAAAAGAGAAAGATGTAATTCTTGTATTCAATGTGCCCAGATGTTATTGATGCTTTCATAGAGACGCTTTTCATGCTGATGATTCTCTCTTTTTCGAGCAGATAATTCAACTTGTAAATCAGATCATTTATGGGAACATATACAGTGATCCTGAAGAGGGAAATGCAGAAACAGGTCAACTGCCTCAAGCATCACAGAGCCTTCGCAAAGGTGTCTTGTTGCTGCACCGTGGTGGCCTGGCATCATTCAGATGGGTGAAGTATGCATGTGTCCTTATTACTGTAAAGCCGCTATTGAAAAACAAATGAGTAGCATAGTTATGATAAATAAATTCTAATGATAAATTATTTGTGGCTACATGTTCAAACTCCCATTCTCAATTACAAATAAATATTTTATTAATTCACCATATAAATGGTTTTATAAATCAGGACTTTGATTTCAATTTTTTTCCTTCTTTGTTACAGTTGCATAAGAAAGTCACAGTTTGATTGATGTCCATTGCTGCTCTTGTTGCATTGCATCCTGTTTGTAGAAGTAGAGCAAGACTTATCTGCTAACATTAGTTTATTGCAGCTGCAATTATGATGATAATTAAGTTGAATTTTCATTCCAAAAATGTACAAATAGGTTTGTGCTAATTTAGAAACAGTGTCGCCCGTACATTGTTATTCTACCAGTTATTAGATTTTCTATCAAAAATATTGATATCAGTGTCAGCCTCAGAAATCCAGTACTGGTGGGCTGTAAAATACATGGACTTTGAGTATACTAACTGCAAAAACAGTATTTGACTCTATATATACTCAGCATATAATTCCTGTTGTTGTGGCTTCTATTACACATTACATTTCCCCATTTTCTTTCCAGATACGAGGTCCAGCTCCACGTAGGCCAGCTAAATCTGTTCCCCATTAAGCAACAAGGCCCCATTGACAGTGAGGTGACATCCTCTTTGCCCGTGTCCCTTGTTATTCACCTATCAGACGGTGACACCAGTGTACAAAAATCTCACGGCTCCGACACTTTCACTCTGATCACCCACAAAAATGAGCACCAGTGAGTGAAGATTATTAAAATGTGGAAATAATCACAACAATTAAATTTGGTCTATCACATTTTTCACATTTTACAACCTTGTAAAAGTGTTTAATTACAGTCAGTAGTCTTTGCAATGCATTTATTTTTATTATAGCAGTTATGATGCAGCCTTGTTTGAGTGATAATGTCATAGATACAAGCCTAGACTGTTAATTACTAGACTTATCTTAGCTAATGATGGAAGTTATGTTAAGTTTTTTGATATATTGCAGGTTCCGGGTGCCTGTGTCAGATCAAACATCCGCCCCTGGGGAAGTCCAGAGGGAGCGAGATGCCTGGGTCAAGGCCATTCACAAACTGTGTTCAGACTGGAAGAGGAAGTCCATGGCTGAAAACATGTTTGTGCAAACAAAAGGTCTACAAAATATCAGCATAGAAAATGCAGAGGACAGAGACACAGAATCAAGTGGTGAAATTGGTGGTGGAAATATGACTCATCATCATTATCCTCCAGCTGATTATAAAAATGCAGTTCCCTCTTCCAGAGGTGGAGATAATTTATCAGCTGGTGACCCCAGTCAAAGTTATCCTTCAGCTGATTATACAAAACCTGTTCCTAAACCTCGCAGCACTAAGAAGACTGCTGTTCAAGTTACCGGGCCAGATATTTTGCCTCCCGTCTCATCACCAACCTCTCCCACTGTTGCCTTGTCTTTAACCACCTCCCCTCAACCAAACCCCTCCCATACTGCCCTCACAGTGCCAGAGCCTCCTACAGATGAATCAGCCTTGTCAGTTGTGAAAGTGCCTTCACCACCGAGCATCCCTGCCCCCCCACCGATGCCCTTCAAATTGAATATGAATTCCAAAAAACCGCGCACCAAAGCTTTCCACTGGGATCTAGTTGGCTCAGAAAAGGTAATACTGACAATTCAATTAAATTCAATTTCATTTATATTAATAGCAAAAGGTATCTCATTGCAAGCAGGTCTATACAACACTATTTGTTATATTATTAACAGAGACCCAACAGTTCCCGCCATGAGCATGCACTTGGTGACACAGGCAAGGAAAAACTCCCTTTTAGCAGGTAGAAACCTAGAACAGGACTGTGGCTCAGGGTAGACGGCCATCCCAGCCAACACAGTATCCACACAGCAGTAAAACAGTAAAAGTCGTAGTGGTACAGACAAATAAACAATAGTTCTAGTAATGATAGTAATATTAATGATAATAATAATCAGACAAATCATAATAAATGTGCAACGGGTGTCGAACGAAGGAGAAAGGAGAGGGACGAGAAAGCACAAAACTACGGGAGAGTTAGTTACATGCATTAATGGGATGAGGATGCACACAGATGAAGAGGGAGAGGAGGAGAGAATAGCTCAATGCATCATGGGAAGTCCTCCGGCAGTCTAGGCCTATGGCAGCATAACTAAGGGATGGTTCAGGACTCAGCTGAGTCAGCCCTAACTTTAAGCTTTATCAAAGAGAAAAGTCTTAAGCCTACTCTTAAATGTGGAGATGGTGTCTGCCTCCTGAACCCAAACTGGGACCTAATTCCACAGGAGAGGAGCTTGATAGCTGAAGGCTCTGGCTCCCATTCTACTTTTGGAGACTCTAGGGACCACAAGTAACCCTGCATGACTCTGTGCAGTGTTCAAGTAGCATAATAAAGTGCTGTAAGCTCTTTAAGATAAGATGGTGCCTGACCATTAAGAGCTTTGTAGGTGAGCAGAAGGATTTTTAAATTCTATTCTGGATTTTACAGGGAGCCAATGCAGAGAAGCTAAAACAGGAGAAATATGATCTCTTTTCCTGGTTCCTGTCAGAACACGTGCTGCAGCATTCTGAATCAACTGGAGAGTCTTAAGGGACTTGTTTAGGCAACCTGATATTAAGGAATTGCGGTAATCCAGTCTAGATGTAACAGATGCATTGACTAGTTTGTGTGCATCATTTTGAGACAGGATGTGCCTGAGTTTTGCAATATTAGGTAGGTGAAAAAAGGTGGTCCTTGAAGTTTGTTTAATGTGGGAGTTACTCCAAAATATCATTTGTCAGTTCATTCATCAGAAAACAGCCCAGACCAAGCTTCCTCAAATTGCTTCATTGTTGTGAATTATTCTTTGTTTTGTCTGCGAGTTATTGCGTCTATTGCTCTTTTGTTAATATTGATTTCCTCTTCAAATAGAATTGTCTCAGCACTGAATTAATTTGTTTCTTGGCAGATTGCAAAATCATTTTGGATGCAAGAAAGCACCCGGAGGATTGAAATTGACACATCACGCTTATATGACCAATTTGCTGTTAAAGAGCTGGGAACGTTTTGTGTGGCTGACCCGAGTACTACTCAGCATATTATGCTCAACCAGAAGATTGCACACAACTTCAGTGAGTAGCTCAACGATTAATGTGGTTCTTGTGTTGGGTGTTAAGGGGAAGTTGCTAATACGTAGTGTCTGCAGATAGTTTTTAGCATTTTATGACGGTGATTAGATTATTCCCAGCAAAAATAATAGGTATAATTTCCATGTTGTAATGAAAAGCATTCTTCCAGAGTAAAATAAAAAGTTTATTCCTTCAGTAAATTAGAAGTTGTGGTGTGAAATATGCTCACTCTTTCCATAACCACCAGAGGGAAGCACCACATAGAAAGTGTAAACAGCATCTCTGGAGAAGCAGGGTTAATGTCAGGCTCTTTAATTTTCATAAATTAGACGTTAATTATCCAATTAAAAGAAAGCTGACCTGAGAGCTATTTTAGGGAGGGTGTATAAATGCTGCCACTTTGCTCTTTTAAAACAATAGTTGAACTATAACAATGCCACAGCTGCTGTAAAGCAGAAATATGGATGTTTTTCTATGAGTCTGCAGGGGGCAGTGTGTCACCAACCCTGCAATGCCACCATGTACTCTTCAGAGCTATTGTGAAGTGGAACATATTCTGTATCTCATCTAATGGCTTTTCACTTTTGATTAACTGAGTGTACGTGGTTTGTATATTTCAAGACCCAAGCCAGGGGAGAACATTTCAGAAGCTCCCTCTCGGAGCTCCTCCAAGAGGCACAGACACTGTGAAGCGATTCAGATGTGGTGGAGGTGGGCTGCTAAATGGAATCAGTGTGAGTGTGCGGACTGGGAACATAATTAGAGTTCACATGTTCATGAAATATGGATAGGGGATATGAGCGACAACGACAGCAATTTCCTGTTTTGATACAGAATACCCCAACATTCAGAGTTTATGCTCCTGCCTGACCTGGAAACTTTGGCTGTGTGAGGAGCAGGAGATGAGTGATGACAGCCAGCAGTCAACCCGAGGCTATGCATCTTTCTGCTGCAAGCTTTAGAAAATGTTGACATTTGATATACAAGGGAAATTCTGTGTCATGCTGTCTCTCCTAATTTATTCCCATTAACAACAATATAGAAGGTTTTATTTTAGCAGTGATAGTGGAAAAATTCAGATCCATTACATAAGTAAAAGTAGCACTACTGCGACAGGAAAATACTCAATTAAGTATTAAGTCCTAAATTGAAAATTTCACTTAAGGAACTTTCATTTTGTGTTGACTCTGTGGACAAAAGGGGTAGCGTTTCCACCGCCTCCTGGTAAAGATCTTGATCTGGCTAGCTAGTTTCGGAAGCAGAAAGACGCAATATTTTATTTATTATATATAATTTATTAATTTTTTAATTAAAAAAGTTTTTCGTGTAAACTTTCTTTTCGTACCGCTTATACACCTAGGTTACATGTAAGCCCACAACGAACTGATTCAGTTTCCTGGTAGTAATTATGTAGAGAAAGTTAAAGTTATCAGTATTCCTGAGTAATTGTTATGTCTTCATAATAATAAGCCAACAGCAAGATATAGCTTGGTAGCAAGGCCAAAATAAAATGTTACCAGTTGTATTACAGTAAAAAAACATGGACTGTACACAGTCGTCACAGACATAATTGTGGACCTCTGCAAAAGGCCCCTGTGCTGAAATCACGTGATCTCAGGAGTGGAAGGTGATCTTCTTTGTGTCATTTTTGCATGAACATCTGCATTAGATATGGAAAAAATGATAATGCAACAACTTCATTCACTAATTTTGGTGAAACTGGACCCTATTTGATACAGAAAATATTTTCTGGTTTTCCCTCTGATGTCCTCCAGCAGCAGTCAGCGGTTCCTTGTAGCTATCTGTCCATCAGGAAAATCCGTAAATCACTGAAAATTGAAAAATATCATCCTGCTTTCTTTTAACTGGCTAAAATCCAGCTAATTGTGTAGTCCGGTTGTTCCCAACCTAGCAGTCGGTTAAATCTGTTCTGCTGCTCAAATTTGTATTCGTATTTTGGTCTGGCTAATCTCAAGGTGTTAACCATGCTATGTACTGTTATTTAAAAGCAATTTGAGAAGTTTAGATGGGAAATGTCTCTTTGGTGGAACTGATAACAATTCATAGACACATGAAATGTGTCAAGGGACCTCAAATTAGAAACATATTTTGTAAGGGGTCACAGGCCAAAAAAAGAAGCCAATTAAGTATTTTTTACAAGCTCATAGTTTTAATATCTTAATCTGTAAATTAACTAGTAAATATAGTTATCAGTAATAGTAACTGTTGTGGAGAAGAAGTATAAAGCAGAATAAAATGTAAATATATGCACAAGTAAGGACAAATACCTCAAAAGTGTACTTAAGTACAGTACTTAGGTAAAATCTTTCCACTACTGGGTGAGATCCATTGCATTTTTTTGTAATCATAGCACATTTCTGCTTCGAATGAGTCCAACTAATATGGTTATTTACCTTGAGAGCCCTGGTACATGCTGCCTATTTAATGACTGGAAATGTTGCACTCCTAATTAAAATTACACCTGTGGGTTCCCGCACCCAGTGGGATACACTCTCCATCTCCATACTCTAATTTGCCAGGGCAATGCCCAGTTTGTCTGAGTGCCAATCAACAAAGGGCTTGATTTGCACTTGTGTGTGTGTGTTTTTTTTAGACCAGAGGCCTAACCCTCACTCTTGAGGACACTGGTAGCGCTCGACATTATTTGAATGTTTTATGTCGTGATTCCTCATTTGAAAAATGTGACACGAAAGCCTCTGTTGGTCCTGGTGAGGGAATTACTGTCTCAGGTCTTTAATGTCAAGGATTTAGAGACGTGTTGATTACAGCTTTGTACCTCCAAAATGCTTCTCATTTAACATGATTATTTTATTCACTTTGTTATGAGTAGATTTTCAATCAGTTTGATGTTTTTGATCCAGTAGAACAATTTGACTCATATCAAGTCAACCTTTATGGACAGTTAAAGAAGTATAGTTTGACAACTTGGGAAATATGCTTATCTGCTTTGGATGCAGATGGAGTCCAGGCTGGTTAGTAAAATGCTAGCGGCCAATTTTGCAGCACACATTACAGTCCTTGCCCCTTGACTGACATTACATACTCCCACCACAGAACCTCCCTCTCTGCTTGTAGTGTCACCTCAGACTACTGTCCCCCCATGCTAGCTCCCTCCATTGGCTGCGTCTGTCCTTGCCACTTGCCAGTCACTTTCCCCATGCAGACCATTATTACAGACAGGGTGGTGTGTGCACTGGGAACCTCCGTCAACTACCTCACGCCTCTGCTTGTTCTTCGGCTGTTCCACCTTCAGCAGTGAAGATGACCCTGATCAATGGTTTATTGGAAACAAGTCTTTTACCTTGAGTGACTTTTGTAGAGAAAGAATGAAGTTTATTTTCTTGACTGAAACTTGGCAGCAGAATATGGACACACAATAATATGCACACTCTCGACCTGGTGTTTACACATGGTACTGATAATGGATTTGTAGGCTCCAAGGATTTATGTGTCAGTGACCACAAATATATTTTATTTGACAGTGGCTTTACATTGGAATCTCAGTCTCATTGCTGTATGAGACGCACCTGTTTCATAAACAAGTCTACAGCCGTCAATTTCTCTATGGTGTCTGACAGGAATATTGTTTTAAAGGATGGATTTTTAAAGAACACGTCAACACTTTAGTCCAGTCTCTTGACAATCATTGCATCTCGTGCTGGATAAAGTAGCTCCTCTTAAATAAATCTCAACACAAAACAAACCATCTGGAGTTTTAGCTGTAAATGTTGAAAGACAGAAAACACTTGTGGAAAGCCACGATGCTCGAAGTACATAGACTGCATCTCAGAGAACTTATGGGTACCATTAACGACATGGTGAAGGCTGAGAGATCTTCTTGTTTTTCAAAATCTAATATCTTCCAGCAAGTGAAACCCTAAAGCCTTTTTTAACACTGTAAACTATATTGTTTCTCCCAGCACTCCTAACTTACAAATCTTCTCAAATAGTGATGGCAATAACTTTCTTAATTATTTTATAAAGGTTGAAAATGTCAGGGCAAACATCTAACCATCGTCCAGTCCACTCACTAGTGGTTCATCAAATACATCCGTCTTGAACTCCTTTTGTCCTCCAGCCCTCTAGATATCCTACCAACCTCCCAATTGTTAAGGGGGTTTCCCCCTGTTGTTTGATAAATTTCAATCTAACTCCCGTAAACTGTACTCCACTGAAATGGCTCTCCTCAAGGTCTCAAATGATATTGTAATGGCTGCAAGTGCTGGAGCTGGTTCAGTTTTGGTTTTAGTTTACATTAGTACCGCATTTGATACTGCTGACCACCGTATTTTAATCCACATGCCAGTGTGTGATCAATAAAGTCTATTTTATCTTATCTTAAAGCACCTGGTGGGCATTTCTGGGACTGCACTGGAGTGATTCTCCTCCTATCTCACAGATATCAGTCTCTGTAGATGAAGTTATGTCAGCCTCTATCCAATCTACGATCAGTCCTGGGACCCATTTATTCTCCATATACATGCTGCCACTAGGACAGATTATCAGTAGTTTTAGCAACATCTCCTCTCATTTGTACGCTGATGACATCCAGTTGTATTTTTCATTTAACCCTAAAGACCCTCATAATCTGTCTGTACTGAAGAATTTTTTAAATGCAGTTATTTTCTATAGTTAAAAGCAAATTAAAGTAAAGGCTTGATTATTGCTACTGAGAGCCTTCACTTTGTAATCAGGCAGAACCTTGGTGCCTTATCCTCACCTTCCTGGCCTAATCTGCCCAATCTTGGTGTGTTTTTTGACCAATCCATGAGTTTCGATTCTCACATTAGAAGGCAGACTCGATCTTGTTTCTTTCACCTAAGGAACATAGCAAAACTTAGATCTGTTGTGTTAAGAAATTATATGAAGATCCCAGTACAATACTTTTATTTCACCATGTTTGGACTTCTGTGATTCTCTTTTTACTGGCCTTAATAATACAATCTGTCCAAAACACTCCAAACACATTCCTATGCATTGGCTCCCTGTTAATTGTATTTGCATTTTTAAAATGTTGGTCCTCACTTATAGAGCACAGCATGGCCAGGCTCCACAGTATATCACGGACCTTCTGCATCCCCACACCATGAGCCGAGCTCTTAGGTCATCTACCCTGGGTGAACCAAGATTTGGAATACTCTCCCAACAAGCCTGAGGTCTTTAGACTCTGTGGACTCTTTTAAAAAGAAGCTAAAACACATCTTTTCAGACAGGCATTTCGGTAGCATGTGGTATTTAATGTTTAAAATTATGTCTAATGTTTGTTCCTCTAGTATTTTTATTTATTTGATTCTATTTGATATTATTTCTTTGACTGTGAAGCACTTTGTGACTGGTGTCTGTTAAAGATTTATACATAAACACTATTGGAGGTGCCAATAGATGGATTTATTACCTTCAGATAGAGCCAGGCTAGTTGTTTTAATGCTAACATAATTGGCTACTTGCTCTAACTTAATATTAAATGGGCAGAGGTATCAATCTTCTTATCTAATTCTCAACAAGACAGCTTATGTCGCAAAATAACGAAGTATTCTTTGAAATTAAGGGGAAAGAAAAGTTTGCTGCCATAACTGGCAGTGCATAAATACAAAGCTCCACTTCAGGAAAAGCTTTGACCACAAGTTAGTTGACAACCTCACAACTTAATGAAAGAAAGTTGGATGTGACACTTCCAAATCAAAGCCTGATTGGCTAAAGCATCTCAACTGTATTTTGTAAAATACACAATGTATTTTACATGTATGTCAAAAAATTCCTGATGCAGACTCCTAATGAATGCATCTCACAGCTCCTGAATTATGCCAGTCATTTTCTGCAAAACAAAAAAAAAATCAGATCAGGTTTGGCTTGATAGAATGCAAATTTGTGCATTTCCCTTAGGCATTTGGGAGAAAGTAATTAAGCAAAGAACCCTTTGTTTTCAGAATGCTTTTTGAGTTATTTCATCGCAGGATAAGAAGACTATCTGTCAAAAGGAAAGCTTTCATGTACTATTGAGTGTGTTGACTTTTTCTAATCTATTGTTCTTCTAGGTATTTTCCTAAAAAGTTTTCCAGTGCAACCGGGAGAGCTGAAGGACAAACTGTTCATCATTAATGAGGAAGATGGAGGCCTGTCTGATGAGCACATCACCTCTCTGAGGAGGTATGACTTTGTGCCAAAAAAGATGATTTGTATTCATTCCTTATAGTATCACAACTGAAGCTGAGAGGTGAATGACTTTTTGTGCATGAGTGTCCATGGGTGGTTGATGCGTGTTTTCATTGGCAGAGACAAAACCTTTGGATACTAGCAGCTTAGCATCAACAAGGGATGTGAAAGCATGGTAGAGTCAGGACAATGAGGAACAGGGGAAACCACTGCCTGTTCATGTGAGGAAGACACACAGGTTTGCACAGCAGTCCGTCACAGTGTTCTAATACTAAAAAGCAGATGCCAGAACCTTTTACCAAAGCAGCTTACTAATAAAAGTTTTATCTTGGGTTATTTGTGGAGATGGAAACTATTGACATGCCCTCAGGAATATAAGACTGAAAGCGGGTAAAATGCTTCCTGAGTCTTACCTGCAGTTTACTCAGTGGCTTTGGATGATGACCTCTCGGAAGGCGAAAGTAATCTAATGTACTTGTGTTTATTTATGAAAACATAATATATATTTTAATGCACCGTGGCGTAGACCTGAGGAATACAATCTTGAAAGAGCCACTCCCAACAGGTGCTGCAATATTAATGGCTGGTGCTTCTCCAGTGCCACACAGGCTCGCTCATGAAAAAGTGAATGCCTTTGGTTTGAGGTCAGAACGCATGGAAAAGACAGAAAGAGAAAGAACAATTTAAGATGAGCGAGGTTCAAATTCAGAGCAAGACAGTAAATGGCTGTTCCCATCAGCGTATCGCTGCTTTACAGAATCTGACGAGGACCATCAGCACTACTTGGCTTTTAATCACTTGCCTTTCTCCAGGCCACTAGAAATCAATGTGATGACAGAAAGAGGCAAAGGTCAACATGAAAAAGTATGTGTCTTAGAAAAAGACATCCTTTTTTAAAATGAATCTGTAGGTCGAATAGATAGGTATGTGTGTTTTTTTGTTGCTAGCTTTTTTCTGTTAGATAAATAAGAACTGATATTTTTCATATGGACTCATTTATTTTTATTGGATTGGAAACGAGGTGGCCTTTTTAAACGAGACGAGGAACAGAACCGCATAGTTTAAATGTATTAATTAGCCAATGTTTATATCTTGCACGACTGTAACCAGCAATGCCATTGTTCATGCCAGCATAACATAACATGCAAATAAATAAACTTTATGATATAGATAAATACAAAATTAGGTCAATTTTTGAGACCCCCTAAACATGTGATGCTTGCATTTCGTACACTGGTTGTAACCATCATAATTCTAGTATATCACAGTTTCTCAAATAAAAGCCAAGAAGGTACCTATACATCAGAAACACTAGAAATTCTAAAAATGTACAGCCTATTGAATGCATTTGAGCACCAGAAATCTAATCCATAACTCCATAGTAGACTGTTTGGGGATGCTGTATATTTCCAACATGCACTCTTTCCCTAAAAAATAAAATATTCACTATGGCTCCTATAGACATAACCTCTGGAAGGAAATGTTCTCCTTCTGTGATTGTCGTCAAGCTTTCCTCTATTCTTTGTGTTGAGTTTTTTGTTGTTGTTGCATGTTTGATTATTCTTTGTGTTTCCTCTTAACCACGTGACTGTGGTGTCCCTGTTTTCATTCTGATACGCTCTTAAAACAGCTATCAATCAATATTTTATAGAATGATGGATCAAATGATGAATGCGTGTAATGTAAAAGGTGTCTTGTTTAGTGATGAATTTCCCTTCAGCTCTATAAACTCACTGTCATCACTCTCATCAGTGTCGTTTTCAGCTGCAAGCAGGCAGCAGCTTTAAGCGAAAAGCTCTGATAAACTCACTGTACACTATCTGCTGAGCACCAAATGGCAGACACAATTAGCAACTAGCTGGTGAACATAGTGGAGCATTTAACAGCTGAAGAATGACATATTTCCCTCAGGAGTTGGTAGTGACCAAAAAAAGAGTGAATATTGGACTTTCAATCATCAGGTGGACACAAACATGACTCCAAATGAATGCTAATGTTGCTCTGTAACTGCTGGATGTGTAAATAAGCAACTATTTGCTACCAACTACTTGCTATAAGATGGTAATATTTCAGTATTGCAGTTACAGCTTGTCTCCGCTACCCCAAGTGGCTCAGTGATCAGTTATTGCATTTTTAAAGGTTGTAAAAAATATAGCAGGTAACTAACATTAAATATGACATGGTATGAAGACTTCAAACACACTAGATAGACACTGGTGGAAGGATGAAAATATATCATATCTTTCTGTTTTTTCTCCAATGGCTTAATTTAATCATCTATTGACAGATCTTGTGTACCTGCTTGTAGTTTTTGCCACAAATTCAGATAAAATGAAAGGAGCAAGACAATTAAAGCACCTGAAAACTCATTTAACATTAAATATTGATGACTAAATAAGCAGCTTCAGAGTCTAAAAAATGTCTGTAGGGACCATTACAAATTTAACAGTCAAAAACTGTGTGGGTGTTTTGGCCATTAGATTCTGATTCAAATGTTGCTTATTCCATCTTTATGCAACTGGGCCTGGCCCACTTCAAACCAGTGAGAAGTACATAGAAATGAAGTACAGGACTCTCTCATGTGAAATAGCAAAAACTGTTCTAACTTTGGCAGAAAATAGTGTTTTCATGTAGGATCCCATGACTCATAGTTAGAAGGTAATTGAGAATACATTTTCAGGTCCTTTAACTATTTTTAAAAACTAGTTCAGTGATGTTATGTTTGTGTTTCTGTTGAAGGTACGTCCCCACCATGGATGATGTGGAAATGTACAAATCCCACAAGGGACCTGTGACAGAACTGCATGTTGTGGACCAGTACATGATGGAGGTACATTTTTTGTTCCCAATATTTATTATTTTATTTTTTATTTAACCTTTATTTAACCAGGTAGGCAGATTGAGAACAGATTCTCATTTGCAACGGCGACCTGGATTATATTAACTAGAATTAAAAATTTAGACTTGATTTGAATTGTGACCCTATCAGAATCAAATGCAGCTCCTGCTCATATAGCGCTTTATTTAGAATGGCTTGTTGAGTTTTCATTCACCTGTCACATAGTGAATGTCATGACAAGCTCTTAGCATTCATCTGGTTATCACCTTCCAGCCTGGCTGTCATCTGACCTGTGTGCAGCTGGCTAAAGGCTTGGAAGGGAAGGGTAACAGATGAACTGTATCAGCCCACGGTGTCTTTCAGGAATATTTGACACCAGACACAAGGGATATTATGTGTTATTATATGTAAGAGAGAGGGTGGCGTCGCCATTGGAAACCTCATGTACTTCTGAAGGCACATGCCTTCTGTGATAGACTGCAGTCAGCCTGAATGCTACTTAATAGAGAACATAACCACCCCTCTTTATTGCTGTCAACTAAAGCAGGTATTCAAATATTGCACTTAATAGAAAGATTGGAGGTGATTGCTCACTCTTTTGCAGGTTTAAAAAAAAAAAAAACTAATGTTCTGCAATTTTCAGTAATTTCACACATTCTCCCCCTAAAACCCTATTAAATTATTAAAGAAAGTGACAGGGCTGACACATTCTTTATGAATTATCACAGTTAGATATTTTTTAGCATCATTACTACTTGGAGTTAAATGTCTTCCACGTGACACAGGATAGTCAACTTCAGCTGCATTCTGTACTGCTCAATCTATTCCCTCATATTACCAACGTGTGTGGTCTCTGCTAGTGTTTTGCAGTAGTGGTGTGGCCATAGGGATGGCAATACAAGTGTGATGGTTGGTCTGACTGTTGGTCCAGACTGAAATATTCTACAGACATTAATGGTCCCCAGATGATGAATCATGCTGACTTTACATTTTTACTTTTTAGTGAAATGTTTTGACAACTACTGCACGGATTGCCATGAAATGTGATGGTACACATATTCAGGTCCAACTCAGGATCGGTTCACACCTAAAAGTCCGGTTTCTGAATCTAACCAGTGGGAGAAATGGTTCAGGAAGTGTAAACAAAAGCCATGTAATGGAAATGTCGTTCTATTATTGGTCATACAGTCAACAGGGAAAAAATGAATTTATTTAATAAAATAGCGCATTTCAGGGGAGAAACTCTCCATCAGATCAGAGATGATTCCATGACTTGTTTGCATTTGACATGCAAAGTGGACCAGTGAAGTGTTAGCCCATGCAAAAGGCCTGGCATAAAAGCAGCTTATGTTTATACGGTAGAATTCATATGTATCTCCTTAAATTAATGAATTAATACAGTAAATACCTACATGTTACATACATGAGCATATGTAACATACGTAAGCATGCTGCAATTAGCGTTTAACGCAGAGCATTGCTGTGCAAAGCAAGGCTGTTCTCCGAACTCTAGACTCTAAAGTCTTGTTTTCCTTAAAGCTGCAGTAGTGAATTCTGTTAAAACTTTTTGTCATATTTGCTAAAACTGTCACTATATCCGGACACTAGTACATGAGACCAATAATCTGTAAAATAAAGAAAAAAAAAAAGAAAACAACTTCTGGTTCATCTTGCTCCTCCTACTTATCCTAATGACATTTGAGACAACAACAGTGTATAGCACAAAACACAAGTGTAAACACGTCCACATGAAACTTCAGGCTCATTAAGTATGATGCCCTGGTGCTTGTATCGACGAGTGGCAAAGAAGCATGAGGACGTCCTGCTGTTAGACGGTGACACAGCTGCCTCAGCAGCCCTGAGCGTTCTGCCCTAGGCCGCAAAGCATCAGAGGGGCGTCTTTGAGAAGACAACTTGCACTGAAAGGGACCAGGTTCCTAGAAAGGCTCTTGCCTCAAGCTGTGCTTCACAGGGCAACCAGTAGGTTTGGTGGGAGGGGCTTAGCGGAGTGATAAGAGCAGCGGAGAGAGAGACGCATTGTATGTTCAATTGTTACAGTAGCTTTAAGCCAGTTGAAAATGGTCTCTGATCAAGGGTGTAACTTTGTGTTGAAAAGTGGTAGGGACATAAGGGCTCAGATTAGGGGAGTGTTGATACATTTGTGTCATGAGACGTGACGATGCACGAGAACAAGATGGATATTTTTAGCACTATTTAGATGAAATATTTGATGTGGAAATATATGTGCGTGGGGTCTGCGGGTCCTCCCCCAGAAGATTTAGAGCATTGAACTCGTAATTTCCTGCATTCTGGAGACATATTCTGCTCCAATTTACGGTGGAAATGTCTGTTTTTATATGATATTGAATGTTTTTTAATTGTGCAAATCAACCTTTTCTCAAAGCATTTTTATTTGTAAGTTAACATTTCTTGGTGCAAGCTATTTTTCAGGACATTTTTAACAAATGCATTCAAAAAGTGACTAAAATCAGCCATTTTCAAAATGTGGTGGGGACATGTCCCCAGCGTCCCCTGTGTAAATGACCCCCATGATTAATAACTTTCCTCTCAGGATGTCTGTGGAGTATAATCTGACAACAGATAGGTAGGTAGGTAATATTGGAAAAACTAGCAAGAGACAGCTATATTTTGAAAGTATCCAACCAAAAAAATCCCTCCAAAGCCACTCCCCCAAAACATATAATGTGAGTGCACACAGGTAGGCAAGTGGGTATGTAGACAGGGAGGTCAACCGTAGATATTACAGTACTGCGACAGCCACAGATAACAGAATTATCTGAGTTGTGGCATCAGAATGGAAACAGGGACACCATAGTCACGTGGTTAATAGTAAACACAAAGAATAATCACATATGCAACAACAAAACCTCAACACAAAGAATAGAGGAAAGCATGACAGCATTAGATTTATTGATTGCTGCTAGGATGTAAAGAGAATTTCTACAAATATCACAAAAATGCTTCTGAAATAAATTGCCTACCCTAGCTTTAAAGAAAACTGTCAATACAGTACAGTGTTGAAGCATTGACCTTTTCCTTAAGATAAAACAAATCCTAATCATGCTTTCCTGCATGTTGTGCATTCTGTTGCACTACATTGTATACAAGGTCAGTTTATGGTCCTAAATCATGCCTGTCATGCTTAAAGTGAGAGTTTCTGAATATGGATCTGAGAAAAAATCAGCAAAATACTAATGTGTGAACACAATTTTAGCCCAGGAGGAGTTAAATTATAACAGTATCACCTTGGCATGGAATCAGTGTGATCTGCTAACCTCGCATTAGAAATGCAAAATGTGTCAGAAAATGTGACAAGACGAGGAGCACCATGCTCAGGAGTGTGGAGGATGGTGCATTCTGGGACATTTATGTTAGAAATAGCCAAATTATTACATGGTCTTAATTTCAAACACTAATCCTAATATCTTTCCTTAACCATCTATCACATAAGGTGGCCTTTGACTTTTGGGAGATGGTACCTGAGCATGAGCGAGACGGTCTGACAACGTAGAGTGATTTATTAGAGGTTAGCACTGACTCAAAGGTCGACTAGGCAGCTCAGCCAATCGCTTTAAGGTGTCAAGCCTTCAGTTTCTCTATTAAATCAGCCTGTCGACAGGCCTGCAGCAATCTTTTGCCTGAGGTAATCTCGCCACATAACTTGAGTCTGTAAGAACAAGATCTAGCCATCCAACGACGGTATCTCATTGCAGCACCTCCCTGCAGCACTGCTTTTTAGATAATTCTGAATAATCAGGTTGTGTGACGATGTAATATAATTGCTTTCTCTTCTGTATACACAGAGCTTATTACACTCACATTTTTTCCCTGCTACAGATGTGCAACATCCCTTGCCTGAGCACACAACTCGACCTGCTGCTGACTCTGAGAGAGCTCCCGATCAGCATGAATGACCTGCAGCCTGTGAGTTTACTCGAGTACCTACAGAGTCAAATCAAAGGTCGAATCAGACATTTCAAAGTCTGTCCAATTACTACAAACTAAACAAGGATAAAACCACCGCCTCTACACCACGCGCCGAAACACGAACATGCAAATTTATTCCGTAATGCAAATGCAAATTACATCGTGGCTTTAGACATAAATGAAAAGACCATCTGGTGACAAACTGACATTAATACATGAAAGCCCTTTTCCCTCCAGTTTGAGCTTTATGCTTGAAGTGGTGGGTGAAGTAGTTTCTATTCTATTTGCTGGATTGTTAAGAGTCTTGAAAACAGAAAGGCATGAGAGGCACTTTAAGACACCTCTCTTCATTTGTCAGAGAAGAAAAGATGGACCTTAATCAAATCAAGTTCCATTTTTCTTTAGGTGATGTAAAACATACAAATTTTTTATCTTTATCAGAAACCCAATAAATATCCACTTTGGAGGTTTCACTGGGGAGAGAAGGGGGAAAATTCATGAATTTTACTTAATTCAACAAACTTCTGGAATTTCTGCAAAGACAAGCGCTCTTAAATGAATACAAGTAAAACAAAGTTAAAAAAATTCTCTAAGTTGCGGTTAAAATACATGTTATTTTTTTAGAATATTTTAGCATTTTCTTAACCCATACATATATGGCCAAATGTTTAAGGCTTGTACAGTGCGAGCATCTTGACATTTTGGGTTCATCATTAGTCAGAATAATCATTACTCTTATAGATGATTGTTGTTTGTTGGCATTGGGGCCTGCAGGGTGTGAAGATGTTGCTGTCAAGACAAGAATACCTCCCAGCTCTTCGGTCGTTTTTCAGTTTTTTATGTGATTCTATCAAGCTTCTGTTTCTTTCAGCATCAGTGCTTCAGTTCTAATCTCTTGCCTGCTGACTGTCTGAGAATGAAGAGAAACAATGGATAAGAATGATGGCACTATAATCCATTGACTATAACAGCAATTTTTCTTTGTCTAAAACACGGAGACAAACATATCGTGTGCTGCACGACACGACAAGAAAGATTAGCAATTTCATTAAGTTTCAATTTGCTCTTGGCTTTTCTTTCTGATATTGTTTCTCTTTCTACTGCGTTGCAGCTTAGATTTATTAAAAAAAGGTAATTTTTCGATTAAACTTTGGTATTTGCTTGTAGGTACTCTGTGACAAGAGGTATGCCGCTTTCTAATCTACAGTCCACATCATAGTGTGTCACTGTCTCACAATAGCATATGTTCAAACGTGAAGAAGTTAGGGTCCACTCTGTTGCAGAATAATCCAAATCCTTCAATTCTCTGACACAACAGTCTTCTTAAAGCCAGAACATTAAGGAGGATTTACCCGCCACCTGACAGACGAGGCTTGAGGAAAGAAAATCACCAACGTCAAAGTCACCACCTGGGAGATGTTTCTCACCTACAATGTGCAATGTTGGCGCAAGGTTTCACTGCCAGTGACAATGACAGGTTTTACTCTGCATTGTGGACCTGGCTCCTTCTTTAAACTGTTTGCTGTGCTCTGTGTGAAACCATTTCCAAATATAAATAAGAGAGGCAAACACACAGAAACAAAGCCAGTGATGCAGGAGACAGGGAGAGCTCTGGCCAGGGAAGCAACCCCTAAACCTGTGATGTACTGAATGGTAAAACCAAATGTAGCTCTTTCAGCAGTTCATTTTTCGCATGTGCTTTTTCCAATTAAAGTCATGATGAAACAGATGTTGGAGCATCTTTAGTTTCTGTAATGTAACATTTTTCCAACTGAAACGGTATAGTCACGAAAGGGGTTTAAATCAAATCCTACAGATTTGATTAGTTAGCTCAAAAGTGGGTGTGGATGGGAATACAGAGAGATATGAAGCTGTAGCGAGATGCTGGGCTGTAGATCTAGCCCTGTTTGTGACCTTTTTATACATAGAAAAGTTTAGGGCAGCGGCTTTGGGGAAGTTAACCAGACATGCATTTGCCAAACCAACCAGTTAGTCTTCATTTTTGAATCTATTGTTTTGTCAAATTGAAGAGAACTGCCGGAAAGCATAAGTTTGGGGTGAAAAAATAGTCACTACAACTGTTTTGAGAGGGGTCTGGTTGTTTCCATCAACTGTCAAATGTTTTCTGCCCTCCAGCCTCAGTGGGAAGTAATGAGCCCATTATGGTTTGGCTCACCAGAATAAGGTGAAAAAGACAGGACACTAGAAAACTTACTTGGACAAGCTGCACAAAGGTGAGATTTATGATTTATTAAAATTCAATACTTTTCCATTTTATTTATATACTGCCAGTTCACAACACAAGTTATCTAACTGCACTTTTCATCTAGAGCAGGTCTAAGCCATACTCTTAAAATATTACTTACAGAGCCCAACAATTCCCACCACGAGCAAGCACTTGGCAACAATGTCAAGGAAAAACTCCTATATTACAGAAGTTTTTTCAAACAGTATTTTTTGATTTTACAAGAGAAAGGACTTCAAGATTGAAGACTGTTTAGTTTGGCAAATGCACGTATGATAAAGAGTAGCTCACAGCCGCTTCCCTGAGATTCCCAGAGATTTTCCATGGAAACTATCCTAGACTCCTCTCCAGAGCTATGCATGAGAAAGTCCCTCCACCCACACCTGTCTCATTTATGTTGTTATATCAGGAGGTGGAAGACCAGGGAGAAATTAATAAATTGGAGCAGAACCATGCTCTTTTGGAAATGTAAACAGAGCATCTGCCAATAGAAATTTCAAACACACACATCCTCAAATGATTTTGCTCTGCTAGCTAAGACCATGCATGCTTATGATCCACAAGCTAACTCCAGTTTATTTGGGAGGGGTTAGCTAGTTACCACAAAATACATTTGATTGAATGTCTTAGAGTTATGGATAAGGCATCTAAAAGATTTTTAACATTTTGATGGAAGAGAAAAGACAGTGATTTTATATAAAAACACACTTTTTTTGACATAGTATATTTACCATATACTCAGAGATAACATAACAATTAACACAGGAACATCGCATTAGAACATTGAAAAAGTATGTTTCAATGTCTATAATGTAACAAGGAGCATACAGGAGGATAACATGTTTACGATTTACTTTTGACTTGTTTATGATATAGTAACTTCAATACCAAAAAAAGCAGGTTACATGACGCCACATGTTGAAGTGTTTCAATTATGTTTTATACAAACTACATTAGTTTTTGCCATGATGGCACAGATGGCCTTGTGCAAAGCCAGTAGATGTATTGTAGCTGCATATCTGCTTTCTCTTCTGGGTAACTGTGACTGTCCCACTGGTAGGTTTTGGGAAGTTATTCTTAAAACAGGAGCATATGGTGAGAGTGTTGCTGCTAGCTGGCATGGACCTTATTTGGAAAAGCTAACTCTTTGTCAAGGACTATGATTCCCATAGGATCAACTCCTTTTTATTCCAACACTCCATTGGCAAAACCTAAATTCCACTTTCATTTCTTTTCAGTTTTCAGTATGATTCTATCCATATTCAACAGGATCTGCTCAGAACTGGTTAAACAGGGAAATTGTGTGATATTCCAGAGGGATACTTGTACTTGACACAATTGCATACCAAATAATAATCTTGCCAAACAACAAGGCCCTGATTATCAATTTTATGAGGTCAAATGAGGTGTTGTGAGATGGCTGTTTATCTTTATAATGCAAAATACTAAAGCCTTGAGATATTTTTGTCTACACTTTGTCAGCACAGAGAGCCCCAAAACAAGCTTCAGCCTTATTCCACTTAAATTTCACGGTTGTTGTGTGTGGACATGAATGCAAGAGCCTGTATGTGGTTGGATTACAGAACAAAATTACTTTGCTCTGTGCCCCTGTGTTTGTCTTCCAGCTGATTAACCAGAAGATCAGAATGTGCATGCAGCTGAACAACTGCAGGTCATTTGTTTCCGTGCTGGAGTACCTCCTCGCCATTGGCAATTACCTCAACGAGAACACCAAAAACGAAAAGGCCAAGGGATTCCGCCTCTCCTCCTTAACTAAAGTACGACTCCACCACTGTTGCCTGACCTTTGATTGAGTTGCAGCACCAGGCTAATAAGACTACTCATTGATATACACAACAAGGCTTCCCTACATCTTCTTTCAACTGTCTCTCTTGTCCTTTCTGTTCGCCCAGGCTCACTCAGGTCTCTGACATCTGTCAGAAGGACTGTGGCCACTAGTGGCGGAATCTCTCTCTCCCATCATTAACTGCAGCCAGCCAAATTTCTAAGCCCATTTCTGCTTTATTTAAAGGAATAGTTTGACCTTTTGGGAAATATGCTTCTTTCTTGCAGAGAAGTAGGTGAGAACAGTTATACTCGTATATCTGTAATAATGAAGCTGGAGCCAGGAGATGGTTAGCTTAGCTTAGCATAAAGTCTGGAAACACTGGGAAGCCACTAGCGAGGCTCTGTCCAAAGGTAACAAAATCAATGTCAGCATTTCTGAAGCTCACCAATCACCAATGTTTAAAAAAGTGGAAAAACTATTTTTTGGCTATAAGCAGTGACTTCCCTAAAAGGCACCTAGTGACAAAGAATGGTGTGGATGGGGCCTGTGGTAACAATGGATTTTTAAAACAAATACGATCACCTTTTAGCTGCGTATCAGAGTTGATCTCCGTCTACATTAAAATGACTGAAAACGCACATCTAGTGGCTGTTCACGTACACTGGTGTAAACATGAAGCAGATGGTCTCTCTCTTCCATAGTTACAGAAGATTTGGTGAAAGAATAAAGTACTACAGATGAAGAACTGCACCAGATATTTTTTTGTCATGGACCAATAAGCTGGAACTCGAAAACAGACTGGGAGTCATTGCAAAGTGTAGAGGTGTAGGCTGTAGTGTTATTTGCCCGGTACAAAATATTTTAATGAAAAAACCAAATCAAAAACTCAGTAGCATTGTGTTTCTGTTTTGCGTGATTAATAAGACCCAGTCAGAGAACCAAACGTGAGCGTCTGCGTAATCATTTCTAAAGTCCTCCGTTTTTGCCCGTTCCCACTAAAACGCTACCCGGAGTTTTAAAACAAAAAACAGGGTCGGCGGTGTTTTCAAACTTCAGCGTTTTAGGTCTTTGTTTTTGCCGTTTTAGTCCGGACAAGTGGTAAAAACATAGCAAAAGGTCTCTGTTTTGAGTGTTAAGTAAACATTTTGCTGTGATTAAATAGCAATAAACGTATCAAACTGATGCCGAAATAACTACAATATGATTTGAATAACATATAATAACAAATGAATTCATGCTTTGTCAGGTCTGTCAGCAAGACAGCAGGACAACAACTTCTAAAATGTTTGTTTTCTGAATGGAGTTTGGATCGATCAGGGCTATGCTATGCTAACTTGGTCACAGTAAAGTACAACGATAGCCAGAATAAATTCCCGACAGGAAATCGCGGCTCTACGTGTCATTTTCACACCTCGGCTTGCATGGAGTAAACGAACAACACAAAGCAAGTGGATTTTGTTACCTGTGGACAGAGACAGGCTAGCAGTTTCTCCTTGTTTCAAGTCTTTGTGCTAAGCTAAGCTAACCATATGCTGGCTATAGCTTCATATTTACCAGACATGTATAAGAGTGGTCTCTATCCTCTCATATAAGTCCTGGCAAGAAAGTTAATAAAAGTATTTCCAAAATGTTGAACCATTCCTGTTACGGCCCAATAGTTGTTGGATGTATAGTTTTACGTGTTGTCTTCCTCTGAATTTAGTTTGAACCACTGTTTTGTGTGCAAGTCTCTCTACTGGCGAGGTTTAAGGGGCAATGCTCCTGGCACAGAAGTAAAATGTCCTCTGCTCCATTTAATGAAGCCGAGGCCTCGTGTTCCCTTAGAGGTGTTTCCAGGTCTAATTGAAAATAGTAAACTGTTGCTGCTTGAGACAGACTCATCAAATTAATGGCCGACTGCTTCCAAGAAAAATGTATTGAGGTTAGATCAGATCTTTTTTTTTTTTTTTACTGGTGAGCATCAATACTTGGTTCATGTCTTGTATACATAAATCTTAGAAGCTGGCCTGTGCCTTAAATTGGCAAACAACATAACCTAGAAATATAGAATTGACTATGAATGTATATCACACAATTAGAAAGGCCCCTCTTGCATGTCAGTAATATGACACCATGTGTAGCATGGCTTGGATTTTAGAGTCATAACTCAAATGTTATGCAAATATATGGAACCATACAGTTACTGCGGCTGCTACTACTACTACTACTATTACTACTACTACTAACTATTAAACACTACTCTCCCTCTCCATTGTCTCTCTTTTGGACTGATTTATATATTCTGTTATATATTATACTAATGTAGTATTTATTAGACTATTCTATTATGTTTGCTATTCTATTATTTGGCTGTACTATACTATATATTATGTAATACTATATTACAACATTCCATACTAGTTTATGTTAATATGTTATACTGGGTCATAATAGAAAAAAATAGATTACAAAACGACTACACATACACAGAATTCACAAAAATGATTATCTCTCACAGCAAAGTATTAGGAAAGTTATTTCACTTAGGTAAACTTTTGTGGACGATATGAACACACAAATCAATGGATGTGTGGCATAGAAAGAAATCTCTGTGTAAGTGTCAACTGAATCCATGCATTTCCATCCTATTCTTTTCATGCATTATTGCAATAACACATACAGGTGTAGATATCATAGTACACATCTGTCTTGATTTCTTTATGTTGTAAGACCTTGTGCTGTGTGGCAGGGGACTACAGGTTATTACAGGCCATGGCCTTTATTCATTCTGTGTTTTCTCCATCTGCAGCTCTCCCAGCTCCGTGGGAGAGACAGGAAGTTCACCTTGCTCCATGCCCTTGTGGAGCAGATCATGTTGCATGAACCGTGCTTCGCCACTTTTACCCAGGAGTTGGCAGAATTTGAAACTGTCCCGGGAGGTATTTGCTAATCAAGATTTGATCAAAGCTGAAAAAAAAACTGTGTGGTTCTTTTCAGTTGTGGTCTGTTGAGTGAAACGTGTATTTTCTGTGTGTGTCACTGTTTTTTTTCTCTCTCTCTCTTTTGGATAGCTTCCATCAAAGGCCTGACTGCAGAAGTAGATGGTGAGTAGATCGCATTTTACTACTGTGCCCAAAGACTGTTGTTCTCAAATTTGCTGAGATCACTGTAAAACTGACCCTCCTTTTTTGTGCCAACGTAAGTTACTTATGAGGAAGTGTGATAGTAACATTTACTAGATCTTCCTGCAATTGTAGTTTCAGTATACATCATTGAAACACAATCATCTCATTGTCTAGGGAATATATGGGCTCAATCCAATATGTTACGTATATGATGACTTTCAAACAGTTGCCACAAGCACAAATACAGCACTTCACGGGACCACACAGGAGACAGCATCTGATTTAAAGCAGCTGTTTGCTTCAGTGGTCAAATATGATAGATGATAACCAAGGTGTGTGTGTGTGTGTGTGTGTGTGTGTGTGTGTTGCTTCAGTCCTGAAGAATGAACTGCAGAAAGTCATTCAGTATAGAAAGACTTTCAAGAAGAGAAATGCTGGAGTTCATAACCTAAACTTCTCCAGAGACCTGAAGGTGAAGTAGTAAATCTTGTGTTTATTATGTATTGACACATTCATTTAAAGGTACAAATACGCTAAATTCATGGTTTCTCACATTAATGAACTCTTTACTATCTGCTTTGTTTCTACCAGCTAGTGGTTTTTCTCTTCTTTAATTGGTACATTTCTGCCTTTTATGGAGCATTACAGCCACGAGGGATGTAAACAAATACCAATATATTATTTGGATATACACAGATAATGTGCCCTGTACAGATACAAGCAGCATCCACATTTTTGCAATAATATTAATATAGCTGTTATTTTTAACCATACTGAAGTCTGTCCCTTTGGTGACTGGACAGAAAGAAATGTGGAGGAGCTGAAGTTAGGGTTGTCTATAAAGTACATCCAAAATAGAACAGCTTTTTTTCAATATTTAAAAAATTCAGAGACACTTCCTCCTGTTATTAACACAACCAACAGTTTGCCTGTTTCCCAATGCAACTGTGATTGATGGAATTGCATGAATTTGAAGGAAGTCATACAACTGTTTTTGTGTACACTTGGTTAGTCTCTGAGGCAGAGGCATACAGAGTATTTTTTCCCCTGAAACTACTCTATTCATTAGTTGCCATCTACATCCCACTATGTATTTGTATTATTCCCGTGAAAATCTGTATCACTCATCAAAACACTGCTCCACAGTTCCACTAGTAATCAAAAACCAAAGTCCACCCCAAAGGGAGTTACCATCTCCCACAGAAAACACTGCTCCTGAACTGCCTGAAAAAAGCTAGATTGTAGTCCAGCCTTTAACTCACTATGTAACACGCATCTTAATGCTTGTTTAGTGGCTAGTCAGGCATGCCCTCAAAAACACTGAGAAACACATTGAGCAACCCCTAAATAAAATTATAAACCTGAAAATGAGCATAATATAGTGACCACCATGTAACTTTTTGGGAAAAGTCTTATTCACATTTCTACCTAGTTAGATGAGAAGATCGACACCACTTATTTCTGTATGCTATGTGGCTGGAGCAAGGAGTCAAAAGGCTTAGTTTAGCATAAAGACTGGGCACAGTAGGAAACAGCAAGCCAACAGAACCTTTAAAACTCACATATATATCACATTGTATCTCGTACATTAAAACTATACACACATAGAATGTAAAAACGACAAATTAGTAGTTTTATGAGGAGCCAGGTTAGATGTTTCCCCCTGCTTCCAGTCTTTATGCTAAGCTAAGCTAATTGACTCCTGGGTCTAGATTAATTTTTAACGTAAAGACATGAGAGTATGATCGACCTTTTCACTTTCACTTGGCAGGAAAGCAAATAAGCATATCGCCCTCAGATTGTGATTCACAAATCACGAAGAAGCAGCTCACACATACAAATCATGCAAATCAAATCATAATGGTTTTGATCGCAGGCGGTCCTAATTTATTACTTGGCCACCATTTAAATACATTTCCAGACAACAGATCTTTAGTTTTCTATTTTTCTGACCAAACATTACTTTCTATGCAGTGTGCTAGAGTGCCAGGTTACAAATACATTGCAGAAGATCCCTTGTATTTTAAGATATATTTTCTTACCAATACATATTTATATATAACTAAATGAATGATCAAACTGAGTGAGTTCCCTGTGCTTTTCTCCTAACCACAGATGGTAATTGAGAAATACAAAACGGATCTCTCTGAACTGACGAAGGAATGTGAGGAGATGAAGAAACTTTACTCTGTCGTACTGGTAATCCATGAGTTATTATTTCAATATCTCTTTTGTACAGCCTTGGAGATGGATTGTCCTCTGTCCCAGTAGGCTCTAGATGGCCCTCTTCAATTATTTGTCATCTTATCTCTCCACCCTAAACTGGGAGAGTACATATACTTCAGAGAAAGAAGTCCCCAAGGTTACTTCTTTTTCACTAGGTGCCCTTTAGAATATAATCCATGTGTTATACAGTGTATAGCCGTAGCCTCCACATCGTTTAACAGCAAGCACTGCTGATTTGCAGCTTTGAAAAATGCTAACTTACTCCTTTGGATAATTTGTTCCGGATTAGTGAACAATTGCCGCTGTCTCATGTAGCCAGAAGGTGAGAAAGACAAGTTTATCCTGACCCTTAATGTGTTATGTCACATCAATGAATGGTGTAAAAAATATTAAAAAAAATGAGAAGCTGTAATAGCACCCCTGTTGGGTATCTGATTAAAAAAACATAGCAATGCATTAGCCCACGAGGACACATACAAAGTTGTTTGATAGGCTTTTTTGGAAAAGTTGTTCATACTGTAATCTCTTTTTTTGTTAATTTAGTGATCTCTTATTTTAATCATATTATTCACGTTAAAAAGCATTCCTTCACGCTTGCAATATTTATTGTCTCTCTTGATGTTGACAGGACTCTCTGAGACCAAAAATGATGATGTTCTTTAATTTGTTACTCTGAGAACTGTACTTGCCTTTAAGCATTTGTCTCAACATCAGATCTCTCATGAAGAAAATTCCTCTGTCACACAGATCATCAGATTTAGTGGGGGTACTAGTCCATGTGCATTCTTTTATCACATTGTCTATATAGGAGGACATTTTCTTTGCTCACTAACCTGGCTAGATTAGGTTTATAGAGCTCAAGCCTACTTTTGACATCTTAACAGGTGCTATGTCTTTTTTATTTAGAGTGCACACCAAAAACAATCAGTACAAAAGTAGTGCCCATTTTCTCATCTTTCACATATCTTTATGGACAATCCATCATCATAGAGAGTCTACTTAACCTTCCTGCTGTGTTTGAGCACTGAGATATTATAGCATGAGCTGTGAGCTTTAGGCCTGGTAAGGAATTGTGTTATATTGGGCCCACAATTAGATTCCTGTGCACCACAATCTTTTTCCAAACCTGACACATGAGTAAGCAAAGGGTGGGGGGATTTTCACAACCAACATTGTCTCAAACATTCAGCATCCTTCTCTAACTCTGTTTATCTACATCTCTTCCTTTGTGACTGTGTGTAGATTTAATAAGAGAAATCAACAAGGGGTAACATAATGGATTTTACATGTGGTGTCTATGCTTTCACAAGGTTATAGTAATAAGTCTTTATTAAATTGGTTTTCTTGCAGAGAAGAATATGAAGCTACAGCCATTATAGCTTAGCATATAGACTGGAAACATGGGGAAACAGCTAGCCTGGGTCTCCCCAGGAAAATAATTCCCCCAACAAAGATAGAGTTTGGCACATAATAGCCATAAATCCATAACTTGTACTTTTTACACTTTAATATTGTATATATTAAACAAACAAGATGTAATATGTTAATTAATGAGCTTTGGAAGTGCAGACAGTCTAACTGTTTCCAAGCACTTGTTAAGCTAAGATATAAGAAATAGTCCTGTGAAACATCCTTACAAGATCTTTAAAATGTCTGTGTTATTCCTTATTTGGGACAGGAGTTGTTTTCACTCATCAGTTATCATTCCTGCATGTTTAAATCAAAGTTGAACCAGTGGAATCTTGACATATTAGATGTATATTTCAGATGTTTTTTCTTACCTCCAATAATTATAATTAAATTTAAAATGCACTTTTTTAATTGTAGCATCCCTATCAGTCCATTCTGTGTCTTCTTCAGTGCCACCAAGGCTCACTCTTCCAATTTTAGTCCAGTGGCATTTGAAGATGGACACAATCCTTAGTCCCTAGCCCCACCTGCGCCCCTCCCCTTCTTCCCTGATTTCACTGCATGGGGACCTTGTTCTAATACTGTGTGTGTGAAACCTCCTGCATATTCAATAAACCCCTTCAGGGGAGTTGGAGAAAATGATTGAGACTGACTGTGCCGTGGTGTTGTGCAAGGGAGCATCAGGTTGGGGAAAAGGCGTCATATTTAGTCACATCTTGTCATGGGGGAGGAGAATTCATAATGATGCCCTTGAATAACCAACATGCAAATTTATTAAACATAGAAGAAGCTCATGAAATTTTTGGAGGGTTGATTTTAGAGAGGTATTTTTTAGTAATTGTTATTCTGGAGGCATGATTTTAAAAAGTAGAAGGAGACATTTTTGTCACGTGCTTTGCTATAATATCTAATTAATCATAATTTGAAATATTTTCCAAACAATCTGACATGTTGCATGTCTTGTCATAGCATCAACACAAAAAGCTGACAGCTATGTCACATTACCAGTTTCTCTTCATATAATACATATCTTTAAGACACCGTGTGAGTAAGACATGACAAATTAAAATCAATTCCACCTCAGTGACTGCAGATAAGGTGCTTTTAATCTTGCTTCTTCAAGCAAGCAGCTCAAACCTGCATTTTAAAGATGATACAAGTTGCTTCTTTTGGGTGTAATGAACATTTCAGCATCCGGTCTTGTAACTTTATTGTATCTATAAAGTTATCAGTGGATATTTTTCACATTTTCTTTGGTAAAACTTTTATTTTAACCCTCTCTATTTAGCATTTATTAGCAGGATACTTTTAAGTGTTTCTTAACGTGCACACATAATGTGTGTTTGTCAGTTATGCCTTTATGAATAAATGACAACAGTTATAACTTTACAGATTTAGACAAATATAAGATGAATAAATCCCTGTTTTATTCAGTAGTAATGTCATTATAATTAAAAAATAACACCATATGCTATTGACATTGGTGCATTCAATTCACTAGTTATGAAATTCTGAGGCCAGTGTGGAGATGAAGAAGCCCCGAATTTTGTTTTTAATTTTGTAGCTTAGCATTTACCACCACGGAATGGTAACATGCAACCAGCAGTCAGTCTCATTATCCTTCTTATCTTCACTCGTTAAAGTGGAAACACATTGATTCATAGAATAGACACTTCCTTTTTTCTGCTAAAGCCAGCACAGAAAAGATCAGCTAAGAGGCTATGCAGAGGAATATGTAATTTAAACTGAGTAAAATAAAAAAAATATTTTGCCTCAATTGATATGTAATAATGGAAATTTCTGGCAGATTGTGCAAAATATTGGGGAAACATATGCAAATAGACTAATTTGCTTTTGCACATCTGATGCCAGAGTGTAATATATTATAGAGAGAGCAGGTGTTAATAATCAGCTCCCTCTCGCTATCAGGGACTTTTTGAGCACAGGCATCTTACACCTGTGTAAACCTTTCAGAAATGTCAGAAGTCGCTTATACAAACATACTCACTATCAGCAATTACATTATGAGCTTTTGGAAGTGCTATGGGACTTTTCACTGACAATACCGTGCCAGTGTAATTATTTATAGACTGGTTCAGTGATTAATTATTATTAATGAATCACTATATACACTCCTAGTGATAAATTAAAGTGACTTTTTTGTATATTGTAGGATACTAATTGCATATGCCTTTTTAAGGAGGAAATTAAGGTAAATGTAAGTAAGTAATTGTTCCATATGTCCATCTTTTAATAAAGTGATTCTTTGTTGCATATGCCAACTTTTATAGAAAATGGTCATAAATTTAGACAGTTGGTGGAAAAGGATTTGCTGTTTGAAAAAGCTCCTAAGAAATCAAAGCAGGAACAACTGGGTGGATTAATCCCACCTTAAAGGTAAAATGTGTAAGATATGGCCAGAATGTGTGTTTTAAATATTTAAAACATTTACTAATATTATCAACACAATGTGAAGAAGGAACAGTTCTGATATTATGTGGAAGACATGTATGTCATGTGTTGCAGAGACATCAGCTGAAGTTAGCATGCTAACGAGCTAGCCCCAGCCTGTCCTATGTTGTAATACCACTTGCACCTTGAGAGACTATAGTCCAGTGTATATATATATATAGGTCTCCCTTCGTAGTTTCAGCTAGGAGGTGTGCACAAGCAGCGAGTTCACAAGCTTTCTTAGCTTTTTTGCCCCAATAAATAAACAAAATAACCTTACAAAATGTCTACAGACAAAATATTCTTACACCTATTTTTCTTATCGAACAGAAAGCAATTGTCTATGCTAGCTTTCATCGACGCTCGAAAGGCATGAATTTCCGAAGAATATGGTTCATGCATTCAGTTTCTGTGCCCTGTTTCTCCTGCTTCTCAGAAAGCCTGAATAACTGTGGCTAACTGTGGCAAATTGGGTGATGTTAAATAAGTGATTTTCCAGGCTCTCTTTCTATTAATCTGAGTTTAAATGTGTCCATGCAGAGATATGTGGCTTTGATTAGGCACCTTAACACTTGCCTTTGACCAATTAAATTATTTTCTAAACCTTAATCTGTCTAAACCAAGCCATGAATATTTAATCATAAGGCAATAATTTGACATTTTGGGAATTGCGCATTCTTGCTGAGAGTTACAATGGAAGATTTATACTACTGTCACAGATGTATGATAAATATGAAACTACAGCCATCAGCCGGCTAGCTTCGCTTAGCATAAAGACTGGTTTTGTCCAAAGGTAACAAAATCTGTCTACCAGCACCCTAAAGGCCCATTTATATTCCTGCGTAGGGTCTATGTGCGTACCAACGCCGTAGGCTACGCACGTAGCCATGCATTTATACTTGTACGTAGGTGTGTCCGTCATTCTGCAATTACACCCCCAAATGGCGCTACAGCGTCCACTGTGTTGACTTTTGCCGGCTGAGCAGGCTAACTTCCGGTTTAGCGCTCTGCTAATGTAAATGGGGGTAAAATTGTAAACGTGCGGCTGGTGTAGCCTTTTCAAATGTTACCGACCGAATGGATCACATTCTGATAGTGAAAGGAGTCATTTCACTCGGGTTGCGACAGTCAAATATATTGATTCACTTTGTTACAGCTGCCGTTTTGGCCGCTAGTAAATGTTACCTCCAAGCGCGGGGTACTTCCGGTCGGCTTGGAGGCATTGCGAGGCTACCCAGCCGAGGTTGCCAACATATTCTTTAATCTGTACAAGTGTAAAGACAACAATTCACCATTTTATTGGGGGTCATGTGCTGGACATTTTCTGCTGGTTGCCACGCATCTGCTCCTGGCCAAGCAAACCAGCTTCAGGCGCCAGCTACATATTTGCCGTACAGATGTGAGAGTGGTCTTCTCATGTAACGCTCAGCAAGAAAGGCATATATCCCAAAATGTCGAACGGTTCCTTTAAACACTGTAATGAATCTTGCTATGTTAGAAGGCAAAGGAAATCTAGCACCTAATTGCATTTTTAAATCTGTTAAACATGATAATGAGTGAAGAAAATGAGGAGACAGTGACAGCAGCATAGCTTGAGCCATTACTTTAACCTGCACAGTCCACAGCATGCAATGAGCCAATTAGTATACTTTGACCCTTTCTGACAAAGTTTGAATTAGTGAATTAGTAATATTTTTTTGCCAGTGACCCTTATTCACCTAGGTGTAAGTATCAATTCAACAGTGCATGTCTACCTCATTGTATAAGTGCACTCAAGGAACCGATTGCATGCTAAGGCAGGATATGAGGTAATTATATCAACAGACCATTGTTAAGAAGAATTTGCATGACCCAGGCACCAGGTCATTAATGAAAGTGAATGCAGTTGTTAATTTTAAAATACTTTTTACAAGCTCAAAGGTCTCAGAAAGCGTAATTACTGTCAGACTAAAGTTTTTATTTCCAAGCAACTAATCCTGTTCTTCTCTTGTCAAGGTTAAATTTGGAGAACCGGCGGATCAAGACTCTCAGGAGCTCTTTGGGGTGATCTGTCAGTTTGTCCACGACTTCAAGAGGGCCTATGCTGAAATGATATGAGTTATACTTTTTGAGGAGACTGCAGTGATGCCTATTAAACAAACATCTGATAAAGATTAAGATACCAAAAATACAGGATGTAACTTTCAATGCAGTATATGATAATTAAAGATAGAACAAAATGTTTGTATTTTTTTTCCTGTGTTTATTTTATAATTTTCTTTCTTCATTAATGTTTTCATTGTATAGATATACAGTATGAAGTGTATAGTGATGCTAATGCTGGATGACAGGATGGCATGATCTATGTTGCATTATTTCATGTAAGAGGTTGGTTTGATTTGGGTTGACTTCATGTTTACTGACATTTGTTTTCGTGACTAGAATCAGAAAATTGGTAATGAAGGATCTGAAACCCCTTGGTTTGAATAAACTCTGGGATGCTGAAGTGTGCTGCTAATACCCACAGCTTTGTGCTGGCAGATGAACAGAATAGACAACACTTCAGAGGCCAGCTGAGGCTGGTGTTGGATGTCTGATGATTTTGAACATGCAACCATGTTGTGGTCAGGGGCCTTTCCCAATGCTCCAGGAGGAGCTCCAAGGGCGCCTCTGATTAAGGACCACATCTGCACTGTGCAATGACGTGATGAGAAACACAAAATTCCCTTTCAGAAGGCAGGAAGGTATTCTTAGCACTGGCTAGAACTAATTTATGTGTTGTACAGATTTTGTGTGTCTGACATTTAATCAGGTGACAGCAAAAAAACAGTTTGTAGTTGTAACTGTGAACCATGGTGGTATAATGAACCAGACACTGAGCAGGAAAAGCATTTTCTTGCAAAAGGAGAAATTAATTAAAACTTTGCATCTACATAAAGTGGTGATTCATTATCAGGAAACATGCAAAAAACATTCCTTTATCTTATTGTTATTTTTTTACATTTTCAGTCTGTCAAAATTGTAGCTGGATGGATCATTAAGGCTTTTTTTTGCCTTTGTACTGTTTTTGAAATTAAAAAGATATAAGTGACCGAACTTCAAGCTCTAAAAGTCACTTCAAAATATACAGGTGTACATTTTCTGTCTTACTTTGGAATTGGTTTTACTTTTAAAGAGACACTGATAAATATAAGAGTTATGCATTTTTTGCCTCCTTATTAAACAACACAATCTGTACTGCTATGCTTCAATTTTAAAATACTTTGTCATTGTGAGGGTCAGACCTCAGTTTGTTTAGGCTCTGTTGTATGCTGCTAAGACATTTCATTTTACTTTCTCCCAATTTACAAATTTGTCTGAATGTCAGGATATTTTCATTCTATTTTGTGTGAACTTTTCTAACACATTATATACTGACATGTCTTTCCTCAACTCTGTAGCTCTTGGTCTGAGAATTAAGGTGTATTTACAACATCAGTCGTGTGAATTCCTAGTCTTTGAGCAAGGCACTTATCATTTAATTGCTTCAGTGGAGAATGTTCATTAGCCAGCTCAACAGTTGGGAATGGGAACCTGCTTCATTATTATAATTCCTACAATGAGAACAAAATTAAGCAATGTTTGCAGCAGAAAAACAAGCTTTATATTAGTAGTATCTGGTGGAATTCCTTATACAGCTGGTCTGAAATACCACACCTATTGGTGATTTCTGTGTGGGAAAGCTCACTTGTTTATATCTTCATGCTATATTTGCATGCCAACTTCTCCAAAATGCCTTCTGGTTTCATATAGTGGACATACATAATCATCAGTGATATCACATGCATTTTTCTTTTTCTTTTTTCATTCCACATTTACAATTAGCTGATGATATATGTATTTCACAGCAGCCATAGGCCTTTTCCACTGCAGACATTTTGACATGTCATAGTAGAAAAAACAGGTGTTACTACTAACACTAACAACAGCTCTGTTGTATTCATGTGTCCCTATAGGCCATGACAGTGACATTGAGCCAGCATGAACAAAAGCAGGATCCTGGACTCTGAATATGCCATTAATTTTATTATTTACAGCTGTGCTTTTCCAACTGTGACATGTAAAAATGTTTTCAGTAAAAACAGCCTATTGTTGGAGAGTTTACCTCTTTAATTTTTGTCATTGGCGAGCAACATTGTATAAATCAATTTTAAAAGAAGGCCCAGGCACATACTGTATGCAAATTTGTATGTCGGACTGCATGCATTTCTATTTTGGGCAAGTTTGTTCTGAGTGTACTACCTGCTTAATTGGCAGCTGAGGGAATAAAACAAATTCACATTTGACTAAAAGTACACACATCTCAACAGCTCCAATGCACCTGCCTATTACTTTAAAGCTGCTCTAATGAAAATTTTAACAATGGGTCCAATGTCTATTGTAATGTGGAGCATTTAGCAACTAAAAAGTCAGATATTTTTCTCAGGAGTTATAGTGGCAACTAGATAGAGCTAAATGAATATTGGACTTACATTCATCAGATTGCTAAGAAACCCGACTCCAAATGAATACTAATGTCGCTGTGTGTCTGCTGGTTATTTAAATAAGCAACTGTTTGCTATCATGTTCCCCACATGCACTTTAAATGGTGATAATATATGTCATTGTTGTGTTTACAACTTGTTGAGCAGTCCCCAAGAGGCCAAGAAATCAAGACAAATATACTAAAATTCTTGATTCAAAATCTCTCCTCAGACAAAATGTTCACTGTGAAGGATAGCAGCTGCCTCTGCCAGTGATTGACAGCACGTATCTCTGATTGCTTCTGGCTTATTGCCTACTTTACTGCTTTGAAAAGTGCCACATACACTACTTTGGATTTATGTTTAATTAGTGTAAAAATATATAGAATGACTTTTTTAAAATGAGACTGTGCCTTTTTGATTACCAAAGCAGCTCATTATGTGCGACAGGGATGTCTGACATGATTAGCGTGTTATATGCAGAGTACATACCTTCCTTTTGACCACTAATTAAATTCCTGAGTGACTTGTTCTTTTTATTAAGACCCAGTGATGGGTCTGAATTTTTTTCTTTTCTTTTTATTTGTCCCTTTCAGATGATCAAACGATCCGAGTCCCCAACACTGCATTTGTTTAAAAGGAAATCATTACTGGAGGGAGCAGGTAAAATATTCATGTTATTTGTTTGCTATCTGATAAGCAGTTTTAGTATTTTTTTAGGTAGGTAGATTGCTGTTCACGCACAGCAACCCATGCAAGGATTTTAGCTTTAACCGGTTTTCTAATCATTAAATTACTGAACTTCACACAGCTTGACACTGTGACACATCAGTGCTTGAAATACTACTATGTGTTTTCAATGGTGAAGTAGCTCTCAGCACAAGGACCCCAAGGAGCACAGCCGTCACTACCACTAAGGAAAACAAGGTCGTATCCAAGGAATTTTTATAACTGCCAGTTGATTTTTCCAGTACATTTTTCATACCAAAGACACAGACTGAAAGACAAAGACTGTTGTGATATTACCTAAAAGGAGAGATTTTGCACAGCATTTACACCCTAACATAATTGTTCAATCAAAATAAGTTACAGCGAATAAGATAAAAAGTCTTGACCTTGAGTAGCTTGACCTTGGAGGTCTATGCTGCTGCTACCATAAGTTTTTTTCACTGCATCTCCAGCAAAAATGAGCAACCATTTAAATTCCCCCAAAACAATTTAGGAATCATCCCAGTGAAAAAGTGAATGAGAGATTATAACATCTATAATCATGGGCTTCTAACTTGGTAAATTCTGTACTGCACAGATACTATAGAACTGGAGAACGTTTGCCATATAAGACACATCATGACAGATTTGTACAATGGTGGAAGAAGTATTCAGATATTTTAAAAGTAGCTGTACCACTTTTTAGTAATTGGACTTGGATTTTGGATTTGACTTGATAGAATAGTTATTCATTCTGGGAAATAAGCTTATTGGCTTTCTTGTCAGCTGATCAAAAAGATCAATACCATTGTTGTGTCTGTACACTAAATATGAAATATGAATCTACATTGTTCAATTTACAAATATGCAGATAGTGCATACTAATATATGTATTTTTAAATAACCTTTACTTTGTCATTGTATGGATAATTAAATGTATGAAAACAAATACTTCAGAGGGTTCAATTATATGCAGCACCAAGCACAATCGTAACATAAATTACTACAGTATTTAAAAGTGAATTGATTCTGGAGAAATCCCACACCATAGCGCGAACAACGACACAGCAAGTAATGTAACTAACATTAGCTACAGCTAACATCACAACAACAGCATGTCTTGGTGAACTAGAAAGTAAGCTGAATTATATCAGCAAGTCAATTAACAATACCTGACACACAAATCATGGCTGTAATGGCTGGAATAGTGTGGAGTGGCAGTGTGGGCCACTTTGTTTGTTGCCTATTTACAGGGCATGGGCTGACTTTTTTTCAGTGCGCACACAGAAAGTACAGCTGGCGGACAGTGAGGAGATATTCACTGAATTTGACAAAAAGACTTGTATTGGATTAGAATCGCTTACTCCAAATAGTGAAGAAGGGATAATAAATTATGAAATCATTCGGCTGCTGTACCAATCAATTCCCATCTATTTATACCATTTTTTTACCACTTTTTTTAATTTTGCACACCTTAATTGCTGGTGTATGGTATAGATAAGGTAGATAAGGCATAGGTTCATAAGTTCATGTATTTCCACCATCCCCTGCTGTCCATATGTTCAATCTGACAAGCTGCAAATATATTCGTAAAGAGATCACAGAGAGGTGACCCACTAGATGCCCAAGTAGGAATGCATTTTGAAAAAACAGCTCACAACTGTTGCTGTACATAATACTGCTAAAATATTGGTGAGAAATAAGGATTATCACCAAATAAACTTTTCTGGTGCTCTGTCTTGACCATGATGACTATGTTGATTTATGACAATAGGCACAGAACTCTGTACTATCTATACTATGTGGTGAGTCTAATTTATTAAGGTTCAGTATTTTAAGATTTTATGTCTTGTATCTTGTTAACCTCTAAAACATTCCCAGCCAACTATTCAAAAATCAATATGTTAGTGATCTTGGATTTTTATATTGGATTCTTATATTGAGTTTTGTCCCAACAGCAAGCCTACATGCGACCACCAGAATGTGAAACAGAACTGATTTAGTACTAAAAAATTTTTGGACAAAACAGATGATTTTCGAACTCAGACTAGACCATTGAAGCCTCATATTATATTATTCTGAACTTGTGTAGTTGTGTTATTAAGGGATCACGTCACTCTGTATGGACATGATGAATGATGATGACACAGAGCAACAACCCTTTCATCCTGCGCATGGCATTTCAATGTCTTTCATGTTATCTATAATATATGATTGTTGAGAACATTGACATCATGGAGCCTCCTCCAAAGCTGCCAGTGTTGAAAAGACATCTTATCTAAAGTCACTTTTTAAAAGGAGACAGCATCAAACTCTGGCAGATTGTTTTGAATTGTAAGATCCTCCACATCTAATAACACAAGTCAGCCATTTCAGTTCAGTCAATTTTTAATTTTTTTTTATTTCATTGCAGGTCCATCAGCCTCCACCTCTACCTCCATCATTGGTTTCATCCAAGAAGCTGACAGTGCTGGTAAGTTTAGGCTACATCAACAATAACGTAACAGTTATTCACCTCTAGGAACACCCAGTGTATGAACATGTCAACTTACTTACTTATTTTCCGTGTTAATCTCCCTCATAGGTCTACCTGTGCCTACTGAAGTGGAGAGCAGTACCATCGTGCTTACTACCACACCAGGCTCTCCAGTTTCTACTCCTCCAGTGTATACAGTAGTTTTAGTCTCTTAATCTCTTGTCTGGCTGTTAATAAAGATTCAAGCTTTGGTCATAATCACTTTATCAATCTTTTTATTCAGAACTAAGTTCATCAGTGTCTACTGTGGATTGCACTGCCAATAAGCTCAGTAGCACTGGTGGTATCATATGTTTCCTGTTTGACATCAAACATAGTAGATATAATAATATAGAGTATAGTGTAGTTATTGTTTTTCATCAGAATCAGCTTTATTGTCAAACAGGTTTTGTGTTTTTGTGCCAAGCAAACGTGGCAGGTTTAAGAATATAAGAAAGATTTAGCTGTACTGACATTGCTAAGCTCCCGGTGAAAGATACACAGATGTTAAAGAAACTTACTGAAAGCAGCGAGCTAGCAGTCGGCTAAATGCAGTAAATGTAACGTTATCATGTAATGAGCAAGGATTAGTTCAACCTGCAGCTGATAAAATATTACTGTAACGTTGCAGTGGGAGGTTACCTGAGTTTCCAGCTCTGTCTGTTCTCCCTGCCTGTCTAAAGCCGCTGTCACTCTGCCGGGAACATTGAAGTAACAGAGCCTGAACATGTCTGGAGAAAAGCGACAGCCTGCATGCTGGTGTTTCTGTGTTTACTGTGGGATTTCTGTATGAAAGTGGTTGTGTTTCGCTCATTAGTTCAAGTGAGCACGCGTACGTGCACACGCCTGGTAGCAATCTTAGAACCCGCTAGTGGCCGCTGAAAACTCCATAATGCCCCTTTAAAGTGGCTCCCTTCAGACCCTTTCCCCTTCTTTTGCATGTGCACATTGCTGAATATATCTTGCTTTATTGTTGAATGCGGACATTTTGTATAATATTTATAGTGCATAAATGTATTTTATTTGATCTCAGCATATAAACCAGCGGACATCTGGACTGTCCTCAAGGGCAAGATGGCTTTGCAGGATTTGAATAACTGCATTTGCAGCTGCCATTTTGTTTGAATCTAAACTACCCTCTTGAACTCAAGTCTACCTTTAAAGCACTCTAGTAGGTTGTCGTGGAGCTCTGAAGCAACAAATTCAAGATGATCAGTGTGCTGTTACTAATGTGTAATGGCAAGCAGACAGGATGCAGTTTTCCAGCTTGGTTTATGGCATTTTTGCTCCCTTTATTGCACTGATCAGAAACATGATGTGTTGTGCATGTCTTTGGTATGTTACGTCCCTGCTGCTTTTAGGTTTTCTTTGTTGTTGTTATTGCTTGTATGTATGCAGTATTCATTGTAGCTTCTAACTTTGGTGGATGTTAATAGATCAATCAATCAACTCTTTTACCAGAACTGAACAGCAACACTTTGTCACTCAATATTCAATGTCCAAAGAAAAGACAACAGGTACCGTTCCAATATCACTATTGTCTTCAAAGTCACTTTTATTTATCTATACATTTGTCATTACTATGATTCCATTGTAACAATGATGTCACTTCTTTATTGCATGGATTTTGCTACCTTACAGTATATGTCACAGAGATTAATAAAACATTATGCAATATTCTTCACTGGTCTTTATTGTTTTGCGTTGTTTTGCCATGTGTAGTGCGCATGCGCCAACGGGAATGCAACCTCTTACAGTTGCTCCCTCGTTCGTCATCCAAAGAATTTCCCCTCGGGGATCAATAAAGTATTCTGATTCTGATTCAGATTTTTTTACACAGAGTAATTCCAAGTGCACAACATGAAACAAAACTCCAGTAATGCAATGCAAAAACATATTTACTTGTATAGGACAGCTGGGCCTACAGATAAAAATACCAGTGCTAGTCAACACAGGCAGGCCTGTCCTCTGCACTTGGCCACAATGTCCTTTCTTACACCTGGGAAATTATCTTTTTGCATGTCTGATCCATCCCAGGAAATCTTCTGCATGTCCAGACATTATTGTGTCCAAGAGAGACATCTGATCATGTGGCTGGTGGTCTTACATTTTTCACCCAAATGAGGAAAATAACAAATCCTCTATGGGGTTGAGGAATGGAGAGTAAGGTAGAAGGAAATTTGACACCATCCTGGGATGGGCTGTAAACCACCCTGTGCCTGGAAGAGAAACCATGCAATTATAAAACGTTATGGACGCCCCCTGAGTGAAGACATTTGAAAAAGTATTTTCCCAGTATTGAGAAAAGTGTATTTCCAATGGTGAAAAATGAAAAGGCAGTCCTGTTCAAATAAAAGTTAGAAAACATTGTTTTTTTGTGTAAAATCCAAGGAAGTCTTTCTTGGCACATATCAAGCCATCGCCTCTCAGCTCTGAAAAGTCTATTGCCATGGAAACATATTGACATGCACAACATTAGGCACTAAACCATTTGTCAGAGCCAGGTGATGACACAAATCTCACAAAATGGCAGCTATTCAGGTTGGAGTTGTGATATCCTCAGATTGTCTTTCATTTACAGATAGACTGATGCCAAACAACACAGTGTCTGACAAAGTCGGGTTTGTGCTGTTGCTTTCAAGGGATCTAAAAGCCTCAAATCCAAACAACAAATATTAGATTAGTAATTAGATTATTAATGGATATATTATATATACAACAGACAGATTGTGTGACAACCTTCTTTTGTATTTTTAAAATAATGTTGAACTGTGCAAATTTTAATCTGCTGTGATATTTTCCATTATGTTGGCAGCAACTCCAAATATATAAAAATGGCACTGCTTTTACTGACCACCTGAAATCTGTTGATGACAAGCTGTATACTTGACTGCATCCTCTCAACATGTTCCTGTTTTTAAACGTTAATATGTGAAACAATTTTCAGCACACTGTGTATTGGCACGGGCTGATTTGTGTCAGGGTTCAGATCCACTTTGGTTGTTTACTGTTTAGAATCCTACCATTTTATCACTTTCAACAGTGAAACCGAATGATCTGTTGTTGTTCAGCCACAAAGATCAAAAGGCTGCATTTCTAAGCATGGATTTAATGAGAAAGCAAATGATTCCCCAACAACAAATGTGCTTTTCAGGATTCAGGCTTATTTTAGTTTAATAGCAGAAAGCACACTTTATTCTATCTATCTATCTATCTATCTATCTATCTATCTATCTATCTATCTATCTATCTATCTATCTATCTATCTATCTATCTATCTATCTAGTAGATTTTTTAAAAGCTGCAGTGGGCTAAAAGCTGAGGGTGCCAGATCATGTAGCACTTTGTAAGTCAGAGGAAGGTTGTTAAAATTGATCTGCTGTTTTATGGGGAGCCTGTACTGACACAAGGACAGAGGTGATGTGCTCACATCTCTAATCTCTTGTCAATATTCTCACAGGACACTTTAGGTGACTTGTTGATTTAATGTTGCATAAGGTGACAGACACATTTATCTTACAATGGTTGATGCTGAGTGATAAATGCATCAAATCCAAGATCCCATTACCTGTAATGTTAGAGTGAAACACTGACATATTAGATTTTTATTGCTTTCCAGATCACCAGGGGAAATTATAGGTGAGATTAATGAAATTGAAAGTGAAGGTCTTTTTAACTAGGTGGAAAAGTTTTTGCCACCCAGGTTACAGTGAGACAAGCTGTAGCTACCGCTGAACTTTTGCTGCAGTTGGAAGACAGCACTGAATTCGGGGATGCTGTTACCAAGACAACCATATGAAGACTAAAGGTCCCATCACTGACTTCTGTGGAAGTCAAACCTGGAAGATTTTAGCCCACCTGTGCAATGAGATTATGATGAGTCACTGCATTTCAGTGAAACCTATACAGCCAGAGGACAGGGAGTTCTGGCAGTTCTAGAAAAAGTGAAACTCTTGCTCTAAGGGATTTTCAGTTCTATACACTCTTTGAAAACTGGGGGGAAAATCATCAGAAATTTGTTTGGAGATAATTATTTTATGGATGTGTTAGATCCCAGAAAAGGAGTTAGAATTGTATATTCAGTGTGTCTTTTCAGTATCATTAACACACACAGCCAATTAATGAATGTAGGCTACAGTCTATTTAAGTTAGAAGCTACTTGGAATTAGAGAGAATATAGAGAATTATTGAAATATAAGCTTTTAGCAAATTACGCAGGGGCAGTTAATCATAACTTCTACCACATGTGCGTGCGTAAAGTGGATGGCTGGGCGCGCACACACGCAGCACATCACTGCGGGGAACAGCTGTTGCCAGACGCGTTATTCGGAAGTGGGGGTGAGGGCTATGGACGATTTATCCACCGATTCGCCTCTCAGATCGGAACAGTCTTCTCTAAAACACTCAACACTGTCTACTTTTGTCTCATCCACCTGCTTTAAATAAAGTCTGAAAATGAGACGCATAGACAACAGTCGGTGATTTCTGTGTTTGCAAAAGAAGGTTTAGACTTAATACGGATTCTTTTTTTTCTTGATGTCTCACTTGGATATTGCACATATCTGGATCCAATAAGAGAATTTCTCAGCGTCAGACGCGTCTGCGGCGGGGGAGACCAGCGGAGGGACTCGGAAACTTGTGTGGTGCAGGAGACGGTCTCTCTTTTCCAATCGGCGCTGCCACAGCTGTCATAGAGAGAGAGAGCCATGGTGAACTCCCTCTTACTGATGCTCAGCTGGACTGTGATCGCTGAGGTGGCGAGAGCTCAGAATGACACGGAACCTATCGTCCTGGAGGGAAAATGCCTCGTGGTCTGCGACTCTAACCCGACCACGGACTGGAAGGCTTCGTCCTCTCCTCTCGGCATCTCAGTGCGCGCCGCAAACTCCAAGGTGGCTTTCTCTGCAGTCCGGAGCAACAACCATGAGCCGTCGGAGATGAGCAACAAAACGAGAATTATCTACTTCGACCAGGTTAAGACGATTTTTGTAATAATAATGTCAAAAAGTGGTTAAATACGCTTTTAATGGCACTTTCTTCACACATCTTCTCAAGCCAAAATCTGACACTTGGTCTTTTCTAGTCAGTTTTAGTCATTTGTTTTTGTGATAAACCATCCTCCTTTGGCTTAGTTTTGACTTGTCATGCAAAACATAGAAGTGTCATTACAGTTAAGTGTAGCTGCACCCCGGAGTTTAGTTGGAGGCTAGTTGCAGTTGGCAAGTGGATTCTGTACAAGTGCACATATCACACGCAGGCAGGTTTGAAAGTGCTGGATTATGTTTGCGAGCGGGCATCCTGCAGAGCCTGCACAAGCATTCGTCAGTTTGCCTCAAGCTACACGCGCACGCTCGGGCTTGTACACGCGCGCACACTCTAACCTTCGTAGTACACCCAAACAAATCAAGCAAGCACAAATAACAAAAATTTGATTAGTCATACAGCGGTGGGCAGTGTAAGGTTTTTGCAACAATACCACTCCAACAGGATCCTCTGGCCTCTCATTCCAATTACATAACGTGATATTTTGCCGTCATAACACGCCGCAAGTGATCTGATTGGTGTGGATCACGTGCATGCTGTTGCTATGAAAGCAACATTTGTCAAAGGTCCTGGCTGAGCCTGCAGTAGTGTCTCTAACAGGTGGGATTCAAGTGTCTGTCAAGACTCTGCAGGTACTGAGAGGAGCTTCTGCTGCCTCCATCTACCATGATCCAAAGAAGGTCATTTTCTGTATTAATGTATATACCATATGTTTAATATGACTGTAGGGCACTTAAAACCTTTTAGTGACACTCCTGAGACAGCATTAGGTGATATTCAGGGTAATTTTTAACAAGTTAAGATAAGAAAAAAATATTTATTCACTCACCCAAACACTCTGATATGTATTAGGTTATTCTGCATGTGTCACTTAAAGAAGTAATATGAAGAAGGCTTCTGATTCTTTTCAGGCACATAAAGTGAGGAAGAAATATTCTGTCTTTGCCCCTAAGTGGAATTTGTCTGTCTTTTTGTCTGTTTGTCTAAAAGCTACTAATGAGATTAAATTGTCATCAAGCAACATTTTGATTTCTTGTGGAGTTGGAAAGTGAAATGCTGGGTTTAGGTCCATTGAGAAGAAAGGTTGAATTATTATTTGTTGAAGTGTGTCGCACTCAGTTTGGGTCTGAGCAGGGGCGAGACTGGTAGCTGCAACAGTGAGTCCTGTACATATTTAATCCTAAACCCCATTGAAATCAAAGCCTTTGTTGAAGTGCTGGCTATGTAAACACCTTTGTCACAATGTGTCTTTTTTCTTCATCTCTCATAGGTTCTTGTGAACATAGGAAACTACTTCACATTTGAATCAGTATTTTTGTCCCCAAGAAAAGGAATCTACAGTTTTAACTTCCATGTCATTAAAGTGTACCAGAGCCAAACCATACAGGTATCACTTTTGTTTCCTTCTCTGAGTTGTGCTATTGATTCAGTTGTAAAGCAGTTTTAGTATTGGATTGGGACAAATTGTCTTATTTAGGGACTGTGTGAAAATTATTGGTGTGGGGAGGGGGGCTGAACTTTATGCTTACATAAGAACAACCCTCCAGTGCCCTGTCCAGGGTGTACCCCGCCTTTCGCCCAATGTCAGCTGGGATTGGCTCCAGCCACCCCGCGAACCTGTATGCAGGATAAGCGGTTGACGATGGATGGATGGATGGATGGATGGATGGAACCCTCCACAGCATTATTAATATTTTGGACCATCCGCTTAGAAAAAAAAATGCAGAACTCCCCCCAATATCTGAAAGTAATATAAAGATATTGATACAACTATAATTAATAACTAAATGACAAAGCATAAAGGCTTATTATAACTTCTTTTACTGTAATTTGGGTATCTTTTTCTGTTTCATTCACTGCTTCTATTTGGCGAATTTTATTTAATTTTAATATGAACTGATTTAATTTTGTTTGAAATGACTTTATTTGCACAAATAACAAGACACACACAAAAACACATGATGCAATAAAGGAGTAAAGATACAAAGGTAAAGGTAAAAGATGATCTCAACATAGTCCTACAAAAAGTAGTTTGGCTCACTAAATAAGCTCCGCCTTTAAAGTTTGTAAAAGCATATTGTTGCATCATTGTTTTGAAAGTGCTATATAAATAAAGTATATTATTATTATTATTATTATTATTATTATTATTATAGTAATATAACATAAATCTGGGTCGAGAAACAATTCAAATAGCTTCCCCTGATCTTCCAACGATGTCAGACTTCACTCCGTTCAGTAAAAAGAAGAGAAATAATTTATGTACAGTCCCTTGATATAAAGGTGTAAAGTTATTGATGAAAAAATGGCTGTTGGATTTTCTTGACCACTTTCCCTCTGTTTGCATAAAACATGAATGAGAATAAATGCTTCATTGTAAGAAGTAGACTGAACCTGAAACACCTTCCTTTTTTACCTGATGTAAAGTGTGCCAAAACTTAAAAAATTCTATTCCCTTAGTGTTTCTAATTGTTATTTCTGTTGTCCAGGTGAACTTGATGTTGAATGGAAAACCAGTCATCTCTGCCTTTGCGGGTGACAAAGATGTAACTCGTGAGGCAGCCACCAATGGAGTTCTGCTCTATCTAGAAAAAGAGGACAAGGTCTACCTAAAGCTGGAGAAGGGAAATCTAGTTGGTGGATGGCAATACTCAACATTTTCTGGCTTTCTTGTGTTCCCTCTGTAAAAAAAAACCTCCGAAAAAAACGAAAAGAAGATTGTAAGCTCACTGACTTCTTCATAATGTGTTGTCACTGTATAATCAAAACATTGCTGCTGTGTCTGTTGGATCCTGCCAAACGGTTGAAAGATGATAGATGGAAATGGATCAAAACAGAGAGAGGAAATAAGGCTTTGGAAATCGTTCACATTCTCTGGAAGTGCTGAGTTCCTGTCCAGATGAAAGAGACTTGAAATGTTCCCTATCGCTACTGTATGTTCCTTTCACTCAAGCAGCCTCAGAGAGGAACGCTAAAACATCCCAAAAGTACTTTTCAAACTTTGACTAGTCGGAATATATTTAGCATACTGATTTTTTTTCATGGCAATTGTTGCATTCAAGTACATCTGCCTTTTGGAAACTCTATATGCTTGTGTTACTTGTGTGATTTGTCATCACCCAAGTATTCACATCGCTATGGATTGGGGGATGTCTTCTATGGAGCTAATTGTTCCAATCAAAGAGCTGGTCAAATGAGAGGGATAATAGTGATGCAGGTCACTGATTACCAAAAAATGTTTGTGGAAATTGCTTGATGGACCAAATTTATTTGAATTTGATTATTAAAAAAAGGGGATCCAGGGGCCCCCTGACATGTTGGTCAAAATGACTACAAAGAGACACAAAATGACCACAGAGACACACAGAATTACCACAAAGAGATGGCAAATGACCACAAAGTCAATAAAAGACTATTGAGACACAAATGACCACCAGAGACATCAAATAACTACAAAGAAACACAAAACCTGACCACAAAGAGATGCAAAACATTCACAAATGACTAATACTTGTAGTCTTCTCTTTCAGTCTAAAGGTCTTGCTCATAAGGGATGGGTCTCCAGTGGCTCATTGTGTCCCTCCATAATCAGAGGTCAGATTTTATCATAGTTTTGACCACTTAGGCTCATTGCTGATACTGATATTTTACTTTTGATGAATTATAGTGGTCAATTTACCTTACCTCTCAACCCTGTCCCCTAGAAATTCCTTTCAAATACCACCAATTTGTTTTGCCAAATACATTTTGAGGGAAACGTAAAGCTTGCCTAGATTAGTGGCAGTGTTATTTTCAAACACTTTTCGTACTGGACTGTGACCCTAGAGACTGACATTAGCATTAGTCCTGTGTATGGTTAAGTTTAGGCAACAGAAAACCTCTTTGGTTAAAACAGCCGTAATCAATAATTTTATATTAACAATTGATCACATGACTACTTGTATGTGAAAAGTGTTGCTTGTAGTGATGAACCCATGGAGAATTATCACCCAACACAGTTTCCTTCAGATCTATACAGTGTTTGGTTCTTTCAGTTCATTGCTTCTGTGAACTTTTGGGTTTTGGTTCACTCTCACCGCTCTCATTAGCGCTGTTTTCAGCTACAACAGGCAGCTCTTTTCAGCAAAAAGGCTTAGATAAACTCGCTGAACGCTACCTTCCAAGCCACCCAAGGGCAGAAAGAGAGTGTTAGTGACTAGTTGGTGAACACAGTCGAACAGTTAGTAGGGGAGAGCCGGGACGAATGAAACACTTTTCAGATATACGTCATTTTAAAATATAACATTACAGACAGAAATCATTTGTTGTTGTCAACAACTCACATGTGTTTCGTATCAATACCAGGTGTTATCTTGTTAAAATGTGGAACGACTTCAGTATAATTTCACTTTGAAGGAAAGGTGCGCATCGTTTCATTCGTCCCTACTTTGCGGGACGGACTAAACACAGGGGTGGAACGGAAGAAACACAACGATATCCATTTAAAGAGTTTATGTTATTCTTCCCCGCGACCATGTACGCAGGATAAGCGGTTGACGATGGATGGATGGATGGATGGATGTTATTCTTGTTTTTATTTAGAAAGCTTGACACTGCCCTTCTTAATACGTAATTGCAAACTCATAATGTTCTTTTTCTTAATAAAAAAATAGTATAAATATAACTTAGCTAGCTAACTAGAAAATCTAATAGCTAATGCACATTTGGATTAGATATTGGCTGCCTGTTTTCCTGGTCTGCTGTGAAGACCCTGTTATTTGACTGTGAGCATCCTGGTGGTCCAGCCTGCAGCCTAGTGGACTCTGCTCCCCCTCCCGCTGTATCTAAATAAGGTAGAATGGCTGCGTGACTCTTGACGTTTAAACTTCACTAGCTTCTAAACTGTAAAACTTTGACATTTAAAACTTCAGGATGTGTTAAAGTACTAACTAATCTTTCATATGATCATGACCATAGCACATGGTATACATAAACACAACTCATCATTCAAAAAAATTATCGCTTGAGTGAATTTACTTTCCGTGATTGAAAACAGCTTCTTTTGTATAACTCCATGAAAGTGTGACGTATCCACCTGATTTTTCCCGGTTCTGTTAAGTACTGTGGACTGTATGTGCTGAGATAGTTTGGCATATCAGACTTGTCTGGGCTCCGAGAAAATCGCTGTGCTTCATTCGTCACACGTTTCAATCGTCCCGGCTCTCCCCTAGTGGAGTAGTTAGTAGTGGAGGCCAAAACAGATCTAAAAGGAGACTTAACAGAAAACTAAATATTGGAGTTTCATTCATCAGTTGGACACAAACACAACTCAGTGCTAATGTTGCTTTGTATTTGCTGGTAAATGAGCAACACAGTAAGCCAAATCAACTTAAAAGGTGATAATATGCCAGTTCTTACAGCTTGTTTCAGCTGCTCCCAAGTGGCCAAAAAAATCTGTTTTTGCAGGTTTAAGGTCAGGGAAATACTATGGTTTTGATGATGATGATTTACATGATTTTCCCCTGACCTTAAGTGTTGCGAGTACCTAATCATTACCATAAAACGTGTTAATAATGCTTTAATTGCTACAGTACAAGCGGATATTGTAGGGAAATAAATAAAATACATTGCCATTGAACATTTTGTGCCTTTTCCGACATGTTAATTAAAAACATTTTCTCATTATGTTAAATTAAAAAATAAAATAGCAGGCATTACGTTTCTCCCAAAATGTATTTGCTGTTGAAAATTAGTAGCATATAAATGTAATTTCTACCTGTGTATTTATAATAGACTTTGCACAAGCCAACTTGTGGTTTATGGGCCTTAATAAAGTTTAATGGGCATCTGAGAACCATAATTGGTTAACATGCTGATAATAGACAGATTCCTGTCACAGTTGGTGAGCATAAATAGCTTCTACTGGGCAGCCTGGGATAACTGATGAATTAATAAACTCCTTAATTGTTGCTCTTGAGCTCAATGTGCGCTTGCAGTTGATGGCTCTCCTCTTCCTGTCTGCAGCAGAATTACAGTCTGCCTTACTGCAGTGTGTGCTGCTGGTGCACTGTGCTGCTGCATTGTTAAAATCAACCTAATAGCTTGCTGAGGCTTTTCTGGAGAGCTTATTTAAATCATTATTTCACCCTGAAATAATAATCTGCACACTCATCAGGTTGAACCTCTTCAAAGTGTTTCGAGCGTTCACTCTCACCGATCAAATTTCTGTTGCTACCTGTTCTTTGCTGACATATTTTTGTCAGTGATTGATAAGTTGCCCTTGGCATCACTAGTTTGATGGAAGTGATTTTTTAGCTTTCTGGTGTGAATAAAGAGGCAAAGTTAAGAATGAAAACAGCATGCAGCTCAAAAAACCTACTGAAGGTTTACAGCTACAGTTGCAACACTTCATGCCCACCGTTGCTCAAGGAACCAGGGCTGAAGATTTTCTCACTGATATAGTAAACATATTCACTGAGAGAGCTCTGTTTAAGGTTAGAGTACAAAAACATTTTTTATTGAATCACTGTGCTATTTTTTATGACACTGTGTATTTATTTTGCTAACCTGAAACAATCTATATTTTTCGGGTCTACATTACCTTACATTTGTGGATGCTTCCATTGTTTGACTCAAAATGACTATGGAAGCTGGACTGTGCCGCTGAAATGATTAAAGTTTTTGTAGGTAATCATATTTTTACTTAATTATGTATTTAAATGATGCTAATATAAACCTATGGGTTAGTTTCATCCATTAAATCTTCCAATTAATTAATGTATTAACAAAATTCTGGCTATTAATGATAATAATACATTTTATTTAGAGCATTTTTCATGATACTCAAAGACACTTCACAAAATCATGATTATATTTTTAAAAAATGTGTCTAGAAAGTGATTTTTCTAAAAAGAAAAATCAGCTTTTGGTGGTTTTCATTGGCCAGTCATCATATAAAAATCTGCTTAATTTCTTTAATTTAATGAGACAAAACTAATACACATTAGTAAATAAAACTACTACCATTTAACATTTTCTGATGAATTAATGTGTTAATTATTCATTGACTACCAATGTCATTAATGATCATTTAAAATTGTTTTAATAAATTGCTATTTAAACGTATAAATTAATGAGCAATAAAGTACACTTCAGCCTCCATAGCTGCCAGTATGTGATATATAAACATGATACTTATACACAAACACTGAGGTTGCAAAAAGTTAGAATTTTTGTGTTGCACATGTAGACTCTTATCCTGGATGAGTTGCATCTTATGTCCTCATTTTCAGTGATCTACAGTATGTTGTATGTATAATTTATTTAGTCCACAACAGAGAGGGGCTTGATAGGAATAAATATCTGTTATTGTAGAACTCATAATTTTCAGCTGCAAAGAGTTGAAATGGATCCAGTATTGTCAGTCTCCATTTTTGCTGCAATGATGGCAGTTTGTGTTTCTTCGTCTTTGTCTTATGTTTGGTTTGTGTTGGTCTCCTGTAGTTGTATATATATATATTGTATTATAGTTTCTCCTTCTTTTTTAAATGCTGCTACATCTGTGCATAACTTTACTGTTTGACCAAGTTAATTTCACATGCTTTGCCATGTTTTTTTTTTAACTTATTATGTATTATACATTGCAATTTTCCACATAGAGTACAGTATCTTTCCTTTCCTCCACTTTCAGGAGAAAAACATCGCCATAGGAAGTACATGCCATTTGGTGATACAGAAACAATCACCGACACTGTAACAAACATTTAATGTTAATTTTTTAAAATTTTTGTGGGGAAAAAATCAAATCACGACAAAAACTTAATATATCATTTCATGTATTCTAAATATATTTTGAATTTGGGATGTTGTAAAAGGCAAATGAGAAACTGTAAAATCAGTTTAGGATAGCTGAGGATTCACTGGGTGCAGCTGAATCTACATTTTAATAAATCATCTTCCTGGTACAGTTTCATTTGTGAAATGATTATTAAGGAAATATCACTGTGTTGAAAGAAGGTGATGCTGAAGCAAGGTCTTGAAAGAAGTTGGTTTGCATTTGCATGCACTTTTTCAGACATTTTAACACCATAGCATTTTTTAAAAGTCC